ATAGATGGAGAGTTAATTATTTGTGTTGAGATGTATCTTATTTGTCTATATATATTATGTATACATTAATTTCATATAAAAATATAATAATAAAATATGTATGTATATATATATATATTAAAAATAATTAAATTAAAAAAAAAATTCATTTTAATTAGGGGCAAAAATTTTCGACTCAACATGATGACACGACTTGAACTCGACACAAATTTTATAACACGAACTTGATTATAACTCGACAAGAACTTGAAAATAACCTGACACGCAAACAAGAAATATAAAAGACTCATAATTTTATGACTTAACACGAATCTGACACGATGCAATTCGATTGTTAACTTTAATCTTAACCATTACAAAAAGAAATTAGTCATTTTTATTTTTTATCCATTTAATTAAACACAAAAGAAGAAAAGTGTATCATTCCTATTTTTCATCATTGAAGGATAAAAAATTTATTCTCCTACTTTCCATCCTTCATACCAAACGGAACATTAATGAAAACTTGACATAATAAGAAATGATTGGATGCACACATGATTAGGCTTGTCAAAATGTGGTACAACACGATTAACTAACACGAATCGATACAGAGTTAAATGAATTTAGGTCTTAACGGGTATAAGTGATAAACAAGTAGACTTGCAAGACCCGTTTATTAAACAGGTCGTGTTCGAGTGAGATGCATCAACATGTTTATCACAGGTTTATTCGTTTAATTTAAATTAATATAATAATAAATTAATAATTATTCCAAAAAAAATAATCAAAATTATATATGCAGTTTAATAATTTTATTAAACAGGTTAAATGAGTTGTGTCGGATATTAACTCGTTTAATAAATAAATTATGTTCGATTTGAAGATTTTCATCCGTTTAATAAATGAAACGGGTCGTGTATGGGTCAAATAATTTTTCAAACGAAACCGATTAAATCGGACACTAATCCACTTAATTCGATACAGTTGACACTCATAGGTAATTCATTCTTACTAAATTGAATCATTTATGAATATCGTAACATTAATAAAACATAAACAACGACATAAAGTGATGTTGTTGGCAGAATATGGAATAAAGGGAATATGCTTTTTTCTTGTTTTTAGGAAGCAAGGACATAAATAGTAGTTTAACTCTGATTCGCCAGATCTTTCGCTCAATTATTTATTTTAGGAAAAATAAAGTTTTCTCAATTATTGATACCGAATGTCACTATAAAACTGTAGTATTTGGACAAACATATTGTTGGATAAATTACACTTTGATCCTCTTAATTCTGACTTTTTTTTTTATTTTATCCCTCCAACTATCATATTTTTTTCATATTACATATTTAAACTATACAATTTTATATGAATTAAATATATATATATATATATATATTAATTAAATTTTGACAGAATTCAAGGCTCGTCAGTGGGATTGTCTTTTCCACCGGTGGTAAGGGGGAATCGGCTGCATGTGCGTAATATGCTTCTTCGATGGCCACAAAACGCAGCTAACTAACGTACGCACTCCCTGTCCCTTGGACCCACACCGCTTTCCTTCCTTGTGTATGAGCCAACAATAGCGCTCCATTGTGGACCCCTTCTCAAACCCAAACAATCAACAGTGATGGTTGTAAAACATGTCTGTCAGCCATGTCATTCATCTCTTGTGCCAACCTAGTGCAACCAGATTACAGTAATCCAACCTCCGGGGTTAGCTGGAATGATAAAGTCTTTGGGGTTAGTACCTCCATGTTTTGACTTGTTTATTAGCCTACTGTGTGATTTGAGATATCCCAAAGAACAAAGATGGTTAGATCAATTAATCTTATTATTTTTTTACAAAAAAAGTCAATTATTTCAATAATCCTTTTGGATTTGAAATGCAAGGTATTACTGTCACTAAAACTATAAAAAATAATATAACAAAATTAGATAAGATTGAAATGGGTATGCAAACATATATTGATGTACCATATTAACTATTGTGGTCAAATCGAATAGACTATTTACGTTGGTATTAAAAAATTTATGAAATATAAATATTTGCTATAGTTTTCTTTATATATAGAGTAATACTAGATAGATTTAAAAATTAAATTTGATAATATTAACTATTGAATAAGTAATGAATCCCAATAAATACTAAGACCCACAATAAAATCAATAATTAAAATTATCAAGTTTAATTTTTAAATTTATATAACATTATACAACTATTGTCCATGTTCGCAACCTACAGGCTACGGCCTGCTTGGCACAGTTTAATTTCAGATCGTACATATAAACGTTTTAAATACAATGATCGCCGGTTATAACAAAGTTTTTGGTTGACCCGACCCACATATTAACTTACCATTTAATGCATGTGAATGTACTACATGAAAGAAAGAACAACACAAATCACTGACAAACATTTATTAATTAATAGAATCTAATACCGATTAATAAACATCTACTTAAAGTAAAATAAATCTTATTTTGATTAATGGCAAACATTTATTAATAGAATTTAATACCGATTAGGGGTTTATGATGGGAGATAATGATGATTGTATTCACACATTTGGATATAAGTTTAATGTAAGAGCTCGTGTAGTACGCACTCCTATATCTAAAAAAAACTTATTTACTCCACTCGCTATCTACTAAATGAGTATTAAAACGAGCGAGCGAAGCCTTCCATTTTGTGGCTTCTCTCTTTTTCCCTCATTCTATTATTTTACTTTCGCTTAAGCTTTTCCGATTTGATAGATTAATTGATTGGATACTTGGGAACTATAATCTTTTTTATGAACAACTTCTACGACAAGAAATATGGGCTACGTTAGTTTGACATTTATGCCTCTTACCCTCCAAATTGCAATAGCAATTCGGTTTTAAACGAATACCAAGTCTACAAACATTAAAATTAGGCAAAATATAGTTATAGTTAGGGAAACTTCAATTTTCTTTTGTTGGAATAAAACTATTAATCTTATGTTCCATTTGGTAGGAAGGATATAAAGTAGGAAAGATAGAAAGTGGGGAGAATATATTTTCTATCCTTCAAGGATGGAAAGTAGGAAGGATACACTTTCCTTCTTTTGTGTTTGGTTGAATGGATGAAAAATAAAAATGACTATTTTTTTTTTAATTTTTTGTGCTAGCTAAGATTAGAGGTGACAATCGAGTCGTGTCGTGTCAAATTTGTATTGATTAATTATTGTTTTATGTCAAATATTAGTCAAACCTAACTTAATTCATTTAACTAATTGTTTCGTGTCGAGTTACGAGTTAACCTGTTTATTTTCATATTGAGTTCGAGTTGTGTTATCGTGTTTAGTCAAAAATTTTCATCCTTAGTTAAGATGAAAAAATATATTTTTTTTTAATTTAAAATTTTTAGTTTTTAATTTTATATTTAAATTTATTTTTAAAAATTATATATATATATATATGTATATATGTATATATATATATGTATATATACATAAAATATGTATATATATAAAAAAGATATATAAACAAATAAGATACATCTCAATACAAATAATTAACTTTTCATCCACTTTCTTTCTGATTTTGGAGTGATTGATTTTGATGAGTTGGAAGGAAAATTAATCCATCAACTTTTTCATCCTTACAAAACACGATATTTTATTTATCCCTCCTACTTTTTCATCGTACCAAACGGAGAATTAAAGTCTTCAGCATCATTTATTAGATGCCTTCTTCTTTGTGCATACTGTAAACTCCTTCTGATAATTCAACTTTTGGAATATTTATTTTTTCGACTCATGGTATAAAATAAAATTATATTGTAAAGTTTATATAATGCCATGTATAAAAAGGAAATTTAACAGCACATGATTTAATGAACTTGCCATAGCAGCAAGATTAAGTGGATCTCACAGTTAAACACATGAGCTGTCCTCTTAGTCATTTGGACATATTTCTGCCATTCAACCATGAATGATTAGAAGTGGCTTATTAGACTATGTCTTGATTGATTGTATTATAAAGATAAATAAAACTTCTCACACTTAAATTAAGATTGTTAACTGTGTGGACTTAAAATATAAAATTTTAAGAATTTGCAAGGTATTGGCATATGGAAAGTTGGATGCAACACGTGACAGAATTTAAAGAAATGTGAGAGATAATGAGCCAAAGTCATATTTAAAAAAGGAATAATTATTTGGAGGTTATTATTTAGTAACTGTTAATGATAGTAAAATCGTTGATAACAGTGGTTATAAAAAGCACGCGTAGAGAAGATGAATGATACATTCAAATCCTCACAAGATCCACGATCTGGATAGCTTTAGAAGTAGTGTTAGATTAGTTTTAAGAAATAGTTACTATTATAATCAAGTTTGTTAATTCAATTTTTTCTGTAACCGAAGTTCTTTCTACTGAATTAATAGTTCTCTGTACTTTATATTTTTGTCCATTAAAATTTATCGAAAGAAGTCTTAAAAGAAAGTATTAAAATATTTTACAAACAGTCGCTTGAGAACTATTTATCGATTGAATTTAATTAGTTACTAACAACAAATTTTAGAACAATGCCAACGTGAATATTTTATTTTTCTTTGAGTTTGTCTACGGTGTTTTCACCAAGCAAATGTTTCAACTTCAGTATTTCTTCTAAAAAATTCTAATTGTTTTCACAAATGCAAGGTTATTCAGGTAAATTAAATATTATCTCTTTTACCTCACACAACTTTCACCCCGGTATTATAATTGTTCAACTATTTTATCGTTATATCTGTCGATTTTGTTAAAATATTCTATTAATCATTAATTTTATAAAATTTCTTAAGCATGCCCTAATTTAACTATCGAAAATGTGAAACTTTTTACTTTGCCACGTCACCAGTTTTTATTTCTAACTAATTGGAGAAATTGACATGTCACCACCGGTTCCCACACGTACGGGAAATACCACCAACCCGAATCAAAAGGCTCTATAAATCCACCGAAAGCCTTCCACGCCCAAACCCTCGCTTTCATCCCAACCTCGCTCTCTCTCTCTCTCTCTCTCCCCAGAAAAGCCCAGAGAATCACCGATATATCGGCCGACTCGTAACGAACACCCCGATACTGACATACCATTTCAGAGTATTCAACGGAAGTAGAAGAATTGATACGTACCGATTGTGGAAGGGGAAAATGTCGCCGGCAGCCGGCGCAACGTCACCGTCCGATCGAGTTCCGATGATGATGCCGACGGCGGTACAACCTGCTCCGACGGGAATGTTGATGCCGGAGACGTTCGCTAAGGACGCGATCCTGGCGTGGTTCAGAGGCGAGTTCGCCGCTGCGAACGCAATCATCGATGCCCTCTGCAGTCACCTGACTCAGTTAGGAGGAGGTGGAGGGCCGGAGTATGAATCTGTGTTCGCGGCAATTCACCGAAGGAGGTTGAATTGGATCCCGATTCTTCAAATGCAGAAGTACTATTCTATTGCCGATGTTTCGCTAGAGCTTCGAAAAGTTGCTGCGAAGAAAGTGATGGAGAGAGAAGATGGTTTGAATTCGAAGAATATTGAGGAAGTGGATGTTTCGTTCAACGAGAAAGAGAAGAGTCCTGAGATGGAACCAACGGAGAGTATTGAAAGTGGCGGAGGTGAAGTGGTGGATGAAGATTCGTCGAGAGACGACTCGCCGGAGAGTGAGATTACTGACACAGGTAAATATATATTCAGGTGAAATGATAGGTTTTTTTGAAAAAAAAAATAATTTTCAGAGTAAAGCAGATATTTTTTTCTTACTAGTCGATTTTTAAATTTTTTAGGCCATATTTATGTACATATTTTGTATTCACTTGACTGTGAGGTTGGGACATGGGCGGATGGTAACTAGGGTTTTACTGAATGTCGTGAATATCTTGGAAGTTTCATCCGCTAGTTGACTATGTCAATAAAATATGATCGGAGATCCGCAAGGTTGCAAAGCTCTGCAACTTAATCAGATCTGTGTCTCTGTTTTTCTCTCTCTATGTAGGTCGATGTAAATATTATATAATTTATTATTCATATTTTTTTATTCTTAAAATATGAAAGATGAACATTTGAAAATGAAATTATAATCCACGTTTCCCATCTCCGATCGGAGTTTGAAATCGGGTTTTTGAGGAAAAAAAAACTCTGTCTCTCCCCATCTTTCTTCCCTTGATCGATTTCCAAGTTTTAAACAGTAGTCAAATATGGCGTGAGGGTTCAATACGTCAACAATCTGAAGTTGCTTTGATTTTGAATACAATGTTTGAGTATGATGTTCATGGTTTATTCCAAGAATCCAGAATTCCAGCACTCCCATATTCCGCTGTTTTTCTATTACTTCCTTTTTTTTTTTTTTTCCTTCTTTTCAATGGAAATTGATCAAAATATATTATTTTTTTAATAAAGGCCGCTGATATTTTCCCGAGGTGTTGTTGGGGTTTTGAGAATTTCGAGGTCTATAAAAAGGTTGTTTGGCTTTTAAGAGTGAATTCTGTTGGGATGGATTTTTGTAATGTTTAATTTATGTTATTTAAAATTTTATTAATTTATATTTAATTCTTATATAATTGAGTATAGTTTGGTTTGTCAAATGCATATTGTTTATTATTGATTTAACTGCGAATTCTAATATTTATTAAANATTTATATTTAATTCTTATATAATTGAGTATAGTTTGGTTTGTCAAATGCATATTGTATATTATTGATTTAACTGTGAATTCTAATATTTATTATTAATTTAATAATTATTATTAATTAAATCAACAAAAAATTCAATTTAAATTTGTGTAATGCTGGAACTATGACAAAAATTGGCATTTCAATTGACATTAACATTGTACTAGCTTTGGGAGTAGCAAATACCGTTGCTGTTACCTCGAGTAGCGTGTGAGATCATTAAATTTTGACTTATTGATGGGCGGCGTGTGGTCACAACCGTCTGATCTTTAACCGACGTCATGGCTGCAACTACTTGGACGCTCGCTAATCCCCAGGTTCTTTTTCCAACTCGGCACGCTTCTCGTTTTAGTCGTTTAACCAGAACGGGTCAACCCGCGGGTCATTATTAACTGCTCACTTTTTTAGGTGCGTGTGTTGGGGTCTGGCTCCTCTGCGGTAAGGAGGTAATCGCATGAGCCAGACCCNTGATCTTTAACCGACGTCATGGCTGCAACTACTTGGACGCTCGCTAATCCCCAGGTTCTTTTTCCAACTCGGCCCGCTTCTCGTTTTAGTCGTTTAACCAGAACGGGTCAACCCGCGGGTCATTATTAACTGCTCACTTTTTTAGGTGCGTGTGTTGTTAGTGCGAGATCCAATAAAGGAGGACCCGAACCAGGATAAGGAGAAGGTGCTGTTTGGGTAACAGGACATGCTATCCTCTGTGAAACAGAAATAATAATAATAATAAAATTACTAAGAGAAACCAGAATGGCAGTCCAGTGTATAGTGGAAAAGCATTATTATNGTGAAACAGAAATAATAATAATAATAATAAAATTACTAAGAGAAACCAGAATGGCAGTCCAGTGTGTAGTGGAAAAGCATTATTAGTCCTCCATTGCTTTAGTGCTCCTTCTTTGTTGGGTTGTTGCAGTGCTCTGCTTTCCTTTTTCTGCCACTGCACGTTAGTGGAAAGTGAGTTTGTGCACGTCTCTGTTTTGTTAGCGTTGGGAACCATTCCATTCCGAAGGTAAGCAAAAAGAAAGCACTGAGCACTGTGTTTAGTTTCTTGAAATATTATTTTATTTTCTTCTATTTATTTTTTCAGAAGAAGTTGTGATTTGTTGCAATTGATGGAGAGAGAGAGTGTTCGCGAAGCTTTTGATCCTAATTACTTTTGTTTCATCTTTATCTCCTTTTTGTCTCTTTCATTTCATCCCTCCCATTTAAGTCATTGTGATCTCCCTGGCAGTTCTGGCCAAATCTTCTGATTTGAAAAGACGTTTTTCTACTTTTATCTTTTAACTCTTTGCATCTATTCAGATCTTTAGTTTTGCTTTTACTTTATGAGGATGAGACAACCACATGTTGAACACACTTTATCTAACATCGCATTGTAATCGTAAAATTCTAAGAAGACCATCAAAGCACTAGTCTAAACACCACATCCAAAAGGGCCCTTTGGAGAAGTGGCAACCTGATGTAGGATTTGAGTTCATCTTTTTTTGATGAACACGCATATAAGGGATATACTCCTCTTGTGTGTTCATAATCACATGCTAATTCAGTATTTTATCTTTGTTGCACAAATAAAGACAAATTATTTCTAAATCTTTGCGAATTTTAATGTAGGATTATCAGCCTGCGAGTGTAGGAAGAGTTGAATAGTGTAAAATGGCTTCCAGACACTAGCGTGCTCTTGCTTTTTGCTCCACCTTTCTGTTGTCCGTTTTTGGAGTAGATTTTTTTTGGTGTTCCTGCGCATTTATTAAATCTTAGACCACAGCCTGTCATTTGTCTTTTGTTCTCATATTAGAGAAGACTCTTATTGGGCCATAATATAGATTTAAAAAACATGTTTTCATTATATTCCGTGGTCGTATTTCTTTCTGATTTATTGTGACTTTCAATAACTTTTGTTTATTCGATCAACTTATTAATATGTGCTTGTTTAAGAATAAATCTAATTGGAACAGGTAAATTCAAGCTGTTTTATTAATACGATTTTTGTTTAAGAATAAATCTAATTGCAATAGTTGAGTTCTTTTTTTTTTTTTTTTTTTTCCAGAAGGGTTAGTAAGTTCAACCTGTCTACATTACAAATTTACTTCTAACTCCCAGTTTGTTTTCAAGATAAATGGAAATTTTGGAGAACAATCAAAGTAGTTTCATGGTCTGTTTCACATGCCAAGAATAATATCAATCATTTATTGTGACCCAAACTGATTTTTTGGGTCACTATTGAAATAGAAATATCTTCAAAACCTGCACAATATTTTATGATATTCATGTGAATGGCCACTTTTGCCTTGGAATTGATTTGAATATACCTTTATTGTATGTCATATGGTGGTGGAGAGACCAAGTTTCCTTTCTTTGAAACATGAAGAAATGATATACTAAATACTCCATTTTTTTTTCCGCTGGTTAAATACTCCATTTACTAGTTACTACATGTCCTCATTGCTCTTCATATGATAGAGATACCTATTGCATCTCTTTCTTCCTGCATGGAATGCAGGTTCTCAAGAAGTGCAGCCTATTCTGGAAAACATTGAGATATGTTCTAACCATGAAAACTGTGAGGCACGTCGTGCCCAGATCAAGATGACAAAAGGGTTCATAGCCAAACAGCCAGTGAAAGGGCATATTGTGAGTTCTTTCTTTCATAGTTTTGGGCATAATTCAGAGGATGTAAAAGGAAATTAAACTTTGCTAGGATCTTACTAATTGACCACTAATTGCTACTGGCAGGTCAATGTTGTGAAAGGTCTGAAGATGTATGAAAACATATTCACAGATTTTGAGCTCTGTAAATTGACTGACTACGTGAATGAACTTCGGGTTGCTGGCCAGAATGGAAAACTCTCAGGTGGATCCTGTGATTCGTGATGCTTTTATAGTTAAACTTGTTGTTTGCTTTTGGGGCCGAGGTTTTGAGATAGTAAAGGACATCTCTGTAGTTTTGCTTGAACAGGTTTGGCCGTTCATTTTTCTTTATTGTTAATTACAGTTCCATTGAATCGTTGTAATAAAACCCATTTTACTATTACTTTAATATTCATCTCAATGCAAATTTTAAACAAGAAACTCAAAAATGTGGTTAAGCAGGGGAATGAGGTGCAGACGGCTGACTCCATTCCTTGAGATTGCCAGTGTGTTAGTTCATATCTATTATATTATCAAGATTTTTATTTATGGAATATAACAAAAAGGGATGACAGTTTTTGTCATTCAAATTTAGGAGACGAATACTTTTTTCTGTTTTTAACACTTCAAACTTGTTAAACATATTCTTGGAGTCAATTCAATGCATTTGTATTTTTCTTGACTACTTTCCAATTTGTCACTGTAATATTTTCTTTTTAATTACCTGCGCTTTCTCAGCTTCGCAACTTACCTTTTGAGAATGGAATAGTTTGTGTTGCGGAAGAAATTGATTACCNATACTTTTTTCTGTTTTTAACACTTCAAACTTGTTAAACATATTCTTGGAGTCAATTGCATGCATTTGTATTTTTCTTGACTACTTTCCAATTTGTCACTGTAATATTTTCTTTTTAATTAGCTGCGCTTTCTCAGCTTCGCAACTTACCTTTTGAGAATGGAATAGTTTGTGTTGCAGAAGAAATTGATTACTGTATAATATCTAATTGCATTTTGTGTATATTAATATAGGGGAGACCTTTATTCTGTACAACCAGCATTTGAAGGGAAGCAAGAGAGAGCTGATTCAGCTTGGGGCTCCAATTTTTGGACAGATAACAGAGGAAGAAATAAGTAAATGTCAAAAGAGCGAGGAAGAATAATATTATAGAACAAATTTGTTTATCCATCTTCATGCTTAATGACTCTCAGTCCATGCATATTCTGCAGAAACTGAGTAATTGGGATTTATGTGTTTTCAGGTCGTATCGAGCCAATTCCAGCTCTTCTACAAGGTGTTATCGACCACCTGGTTCAGTGGCATTTGATTTCAGAAAATAAAAAACCAAATAGCTGCATCATCAACTTCTTTGATGAGGTACTTTGTACTCTCTGATCCATTTTAAGAGCATTGATTTTGTTTTCAGGGAGTTTGAACTAAACTCAAGTGTTACGTTTGTAGGGGGAGTATTCACAGCCTTTTTTGAAACCACCTCATTTGGACCAACCTGTCTCCACCCTTCTTCTCTCTGACTCAACAATGGCATTTGGGCGTACTCTCGTGAGCGATAGTGATGGGAACTATAAAGGGCCACTTATTCTTCCGCTGAAGGAAGGGTATGCACTATACCTATTGAACTATAATCTTACTTCTAGAACTAATTGAATTACAGTTTAGATGCAACTCATACCGCTGGCTGGGGGAACCGTACATCTTAGATATATGGGAGGATGAAATCTATAACATTATTGTGATGGTAATAAGAGCTATTGGTTTATGTGGCATCTTCTTTCTGTTGCTGGAAATGTGGGCAACAATATCTCTAACCAGTGTGTTTGGTAGTTTTACCCCCAAATCTTTCCTACTGCGAGCCCTAAAGCTCCCAATTTCAAGGTATTCTTTTTGTCATTGCTGAAAATTGTCAAGCTGCATATTGCATCTCATGTTATCTAAGTTAGGCTTATGAAGTCCAGTCTCAAAGTTTTAGCATTTTGGATCAAATGTTTGTAGGATTTCCTTGTCATGTCCAATTGCATTTGCAAAAGTGTTGTAACAGAACAACATTCTAGCGTGGAATAAAGGTTGGATCCTTTTTTGCCCCAAATCTTAAAACAACATAAAAAAGAAACTCCACAACTAGTAATTAGTGCAGATAAAAATCTCGGTTTACTTTCAGTTTACCTTGTTCATAACCGGCATTACATAGTTTTGATAACTTTGCAGGTCTCTTCTAGTCATGAGGGGAAGCAGTGCTGATACAGCAAGACATGTCATGTGTGCTTCTCCAAACACAAGGGTGAGCATCACATTTTTCAAAGTCCGTTCAGATACTAAAAACAACTCGTCAGCGTTATCTCCTCCGACTAGAGCCATGGCGCTATGGCAACCCGGCATCCCTACTCCATTGACCATGCCAAATGGAACACCCAATGGCTATGAAGCAATGGATGTTATCCCCAAATGGGGTGTCCTTCGGACCCCAGTGGTCATGTTATCCCCCGTTCCCCCCATGGTTCTGAGCCCCAAGAGGATCCCCCGGGAAGGTACTGGGGTTTTCTTACCCTGGAATAGTGGATCAAGAAAACCTACAAAGCATCTTCCTCCACGTGCCCAAAAAGGACGGCTTCTTGCACTACCTTCCCCAGTGGAAACACACAAAGCAGAGACTCCTACTGATCCAGGCATCTGTGCTGAGGGGACAATGGCATAATGTTTTCTGACGCAGCAGCGAGGCAAAAACAACTACAGCTCCAAAAGGCGTGGTGTATGCTCTACAGGAGCTTCTCAGATAGTACAATGTACAACGAGGCCCAGGTGCTGAGAGATGAGTCTGCCTTTTCTTCCCTACTTTTTAGCAGGATTTAGGTTTCGGTGTTGGTTGTTAAAACTTTCCTCGGATGCCAATCACAGTTCGGGTCTAGAGATAGAAGAGCTTTTAAGTTAAATGAGTGTAAATTAGCGCCCTTAGATGTTGGAATTTTGTTAATCGTTCCTTTTTAGGTTAATCTGGTCAACGGACAGATGGATTTTCCATTGTTGTGCAAATGTTCAACCAGTTTGTTAAATCTCTTTGGAGAGTAGAATCAATCTAATGAATGCTTTATAGAGTTCTTTATATGCCTCTCTACTCTCAATTGTTGTTGATCCTTTAACTACAGTTCTACATGGTTAAGATAGAAATGCAATGAAATAGGTCAGTTAAGGAGAGCAATTACGGTACAACTCCAAGGGGCTATCTAAAAGGGTGTTTTTAGCTATTTTAGATGGCCAGTTCAGAAATGTTGGCTCCAACGGGCTAGATATCCGGCTAATTATTTTCCATAGCCCGCTATTTGCTCGCTGCTTCCAGCAACCTCCCCTTGCTAGCTACTTCAACAAGAAGAGCCATTTTTTGTGCCAAAATCCTCACTCCACAGAAGCTTCATCATCGCAGATCAGTCCTCTCTCTTGCAGCTAGTCCAGATCAGTCCTCTCTCTTTCAGGCTAAACAATCCGTATCGAATCCTTTTGATCCCAATTTCTGGAGCTCAAATCAAAGGTGGGTTTCTGTTTTTTTGATTCATCAGAAGTTTTTTTTTTTGGGTTGGATGATTCATCAGAAGTTTGTATCACCATGTGTTGCATGATTGTATGATACATTCTGCATTGACCTCTTTATGTTCTTGTGTGTCAACCCAAAGCCCTTTTCGCTTTTAACCAAATCGAACAACCCATGTTGCTCATGGACAGAAGGTTCATGCTCATGCTATGAAACTAGGGTTTGAATCGTATCTTTATGTCTGTAATGCTTTGATTTATACATGTGCCTCATGTGGTGATTTGGGTTTTGCTAGGAAACTGTTTGATGAAATGTCTGTAAAAGACTTGGTGTCTTGGAACTCGTTGATTTGTGGGTATAGTCGGTGTTTTAGGTATAAGGAAATTCTGGGTGTTTTTGATGCAATGGAAACTGCGAATGTGAAGGCTGATGCCATGTAGGTGACCAGAAAATTACAAATTTGGAGGTTAAGTACATAGAGGATAATAATGTAGAAATTGATGTTTACTTGGAGAACACATTGATAGATATGTATGGACGGTGTGGTTCAGTGCAGTTGGCGCTGGAAGTTTTTGATCAGATGGTGGAAAAAAACATAGTTTCTTGGAATGCCATGATCATTGGTACTCTTACTGCTTGTGCACACTTGGACAGAAGGTTCATACTCTTGCTGCGGCTAGTGTGCTTTCTGCTTGTGCACACTTGGGCAGACTTGATGTAGGCAAGGCAGTACATGATATATTTGAGGTGTATGGAAGAGTGTAATGTCAATAATTAGATTTGAGGTATATGACAATGAGAAATGGAAGATCCTATTTATAGATATCCAAAAATATGATTGTTGCACATATGACAGTTAAAAAATTAAAATTTTAAAATTTTAAATTTCGCAACTGTTGTAAATATGACCTTTATTAATACNTATGATTGTTGCACATATGACAGTTAAAAAATTAAAATTTTAAAATTTTAAATTTCGTAACTGTTGTAAATATGACCGTTATTAATAAAAACTAAAATTTTAAAATTTTGATGACGTAACGTAACACGTCAACATGTGTTGTCATCAATATGGTGATGACATGACATATTACATAGTATTTTATATTATAATAATTAATAGTTAGTTAAAGTTAGTTGAAGTAGTTAACTAAAATAAATAGTGTGATTGAAGTGAATTTGAAAAAGTGGGTAGTTAAAATAGATAATGTAATAAAAAATATATACTTTTGCTAGCTAGTTTACAAAGCATCCTTGGAGTTGCTCTATGCTGTTCTCCTGATGGTGAAGCCAGATGCTTTAAAACCCCCTAGAACATCTAGATATGTGCTCAAGACCCTTCTTCATGTGAATTAGCTTGCATCTGTATGCATGGAGAAATTTCTGAACATCAATATCCAACTACAAGTTTAAGCAAGATCATATCTAACCAGGTTAATTAGAAGGTCGCCTTGATTTTCAAGGAAATCACCAGGTTGGGTTGGTAGTATGGCTTAAAAAATTGAAAGGATATCATAATCCATAACCATGTAGCCAAAACCCAGTTACCAAATAACTTCCTAATCAAGTGAAGCAGACACTGGGAATATTCTTTCTTGATTAGAAGTACTTTGGAAATTCTAAATGGTATACTTGGGATATCCTTAGTCACCATGTATTCTGAAAACTACTAGTGTCGCTATCAATCCTTTTCTTTCTATCACAAATAATACTTCCTCTGGTTCTCTGAAGACAAAAAAATAAAAATAAAAATAAAGAAAATCCATCCATATAAAACTTCAATGATTTGTAACTGTGTAAGCAGAACAATTATTTCGGCGGACCTTTCAGACTCTGATGCATCAGATATTCAAACAAATATTCTAGATTCCAAAACGCCTATTTCTATATGAATTATACATTACATTAACAATAGTGCAACACTAGAATTTTGAAGTCCTCTTTACAGTTCTTATGTAGATTAAGTACATCAATTACTCAGTCGCAAAATTTTGTCTTGACTACTAGATTAGCCGGGCAAAATGCTTCCCAACACCAAATTACTAATTCGTATCGGCCAACTACATCTATAGACTCCTCTCAAAAACTAGATCTACTGACCAAATAGGGCATCGAGATGAGAGAATGTTTCAAGGTAAAGCTGCTGTCATAGACAATAGGCCCAACTTAAGAGAAGTCCTATAGCCATAGGGAAAATAGATTTGGCCATTAAGAAATTAGGGATGAGTTAACTGCACCTTTCCTGCTCTAGGAAAATGCAGCCTTGGCGCCATAAGCAGCCTGAAGCAAGTCAAAAACTTAAGCAACGATATTTACAAGAAGATTCAGACATAAAGACTTTACAACCATAACAATCATATTATATGTAGTTTGCTTAGGTGAATAGAAGACAAGATTTTAGACAAAAAAACTTCTACAAAAAGGAAGCTAATAAATTGCAAGCATGAACTTATCGTTAGTGTCTTCAAGCAGAAAATGACGTATCACTTTGCTTGACAAGCACAACAATTAGACTTAACTATTTGTAGTAGGCATTTTAAGGTCAATGACAATATCCCAAAGGATGAGGAAAAAGGAAAGGAAAAACAATTAAACGAGGAGTTGAAAATCAGAGAAACAAGGTCGATGTTATTTCAACCATACAACATAAAAACCTAAATAATCTAAGATATGGCAGGTTCCAAACAGGACGAAAGAAACTGTCACTCGTCCATCTAAAAAAATTCTACTTAATACCTAAAGGCCTAATATTCATTGAAACCAAATAACACCACAGCAGCTATTCCCATTTTAAATGTATTATTCTTCTAACCTCATCCAAGTCTATTGACAAGCAAGCAGACTATCGACATCCACATATTTATCAAACACAAGTAATAATTACAGAAAACTCAGTCTAAGATACCAATGAACGAAATTTATTATGAACACAATTACTTCAACATACAAAACCACATTGTCACATGTACATTTGTTTAGTAAAATCAAGGACAAGAAAGTAATGCTTCCCATTCTATAAAACACAAATTTAAACCAAATAAACATTATTTGACGACAAGAATAGAATTAATGGCAAATATACTTTAAACACTTATATTCTTGACATGTACTTGGTATCAAGCTTTCACAGGCTCATCATCATCTTCAATATCCCAACTCAAATCCTCATCTTCTTCTGCAGCACTCAGCCGCTTACGTACCTCGGCTCTGTTTGGGCTCCCATCGTGAGTGACCTTCTCATCACTGCTCCCAACATCATCGATCTCATCCCACTCAAGGTCTTGCTCATCTGGAATAGACTGCTGACTCGATACAAATGAAACATCACTATCTTTACAAGACTCACCACTATCAGCCTTCCCATCCAATACAACCTTGTCATCAGACTTCGACACTACCTCATCACTTCTCACTTTTAAAGTTTGTATAGACAACTCTTTCTTATCAGCCACATTATCTACATTTGATCTACCTGCATTGCTGTTAACACTACCCACACTCAACATATTGTCTTCCTTCCCATCATCANAGTTTGTATAGACAACTCTTTCTTATCAGCCACATTATCTACATTTGATCTACCTGCCTTGCTGTTAACACTACCCACACTCAACATATTGTCTTCCTTCCCATCATCAACCCTGGAACTTCCACTTTGTGATTCCTTATAAGCCTCCTCCTTCACAATTTGGGTCAAATCTTTGCCTCCCAATTCCTTATTTTCCAATTTGTAGCCTTTTGACGACCCATCACTCTCTTCCTTCAAAATTTGGGGCAAATCTTTATTTCCGAATTCCTTATCTTCAAATTTATCACCTTTTGGCNCCTTATAAGCCTCCTCCTTCACAATTTGGGTCAAATCTTTGCCTCCCAATTCCTTATTTTCCAATTTGTAGCCTTTTGACGACCCATCACTCTCTTCCTTCAAAATTTTGGGCAAATCTTTATTTCCGAATTCCTTATCTTCAAATTTATCACCTTTTGGCGATCCATTATTCTCTTGTGCATCATCATCCTCATCATCAACATCCCAAGTCAATTCTTCCTCATCATCAATAGAAATTGCTCGCTTTACAAGATTAGCTCTCACACTTTCTTGTTGGTCAAGCTTATGGACTCTATAGAAGTACCGAGACCAAAATGTCTCACGATCAACCTCGTTCGGCACAACCCTTGTGTAGATACCCTCCAAGGCCCCACTTTCTGCAACCAAATTCTCAACTTCCTCATTCTTCTCCTCCAACACAAACCCTAATTTCCATTTATTGTAATCCTCCAAATCCTCAGGTTCTTCAGAATAAGTCTTCACGTCACTCTGAATAGCTCTTAATTGTGTATCGAATCTACTATACCGCCTCGAACTCAAATTCAAATTCGTATCAGGGGTATCGGATTCGATATCGGAGGGGGCGAGAAGGGTTTCTTTACCGTGAGCGATAATCTCCGCCGTCGATTTCAGAACTCCATCGATTGCTCCGTGAGCCACAGACGCGCCGACCTCGATTGAAGCTGGTAGGTCCTTCACGGCTCGGTTTGCGACTTCGCGAAACAAAGAAGTTTCTTTCTTTAAGCCCGACCCAAATTCTTTGAGATCGCGACGGTATGTCTCGAGCATTGACTCTGACCGAGTCGCGAAGGTCTGGATTAGACCTCCAAAGCTCCACCCACCATAGCCGGCGGACGAATTAGGGTTGGAATTTGGTTGATCATGTGATTCAGAACTCCGATCTGGTCCGACAACGTCGTCCTCGCCGTCGTGTTTATCGGATAGGTTTGCGGGAGAGTTAGGTTCAGATTCTTGGGGATTCTCGGATTCTAGAGGGTCCGGATCGTCGGATAATATGGATTTGAAGAAATTCATTTGTGACCAAATGAATCGAGAATTAGGGTTAGGGTTTTCTGAAATTGTTCAGGTGCTGCCATTGAAATTCAGAGGAGATCCGAAATTATTATCTGATGCGACGAGACGAAGGAAGGCTTCGATACGCTGGATGCGTAATGCGCACTTTCTTCTTGGGCTCGAAATATAGTTGGTACCCATCCTATGCTGCATTTTCGGGCCACTATCTACTGGACTTTACACTGCCAAAGCCCAAACAATAACAGAAATTAGGCCTTGCAATTCTGTCAGAGCCCAAAAAAAATAACAAAAATTTGGCCGTCGCAATTCTAGAACACGATACGAAATTGACACGAAATTAAAAGGATTGAGTGGTAAATTAGTTGACCATTAGACCCCCTAGGTATATTGGTTGGTACACACTCACTTAAACATAACATGAATTCACTAAACACNTGGTACCCATCCTATGCTGCATTTTCGGGCCACTATCTACTGGACTTTACACTGCCAAAGCCCAAACAATAACAGAAATTAGGCCTTGCAATTCTGTCAGAGCCCAAAAAAAATAACAAAAATTTGGCCATCGTAATTCTAGAACACGATACGAAATTGACACGAAATTAAAAGGATTGAGTGGTAAATTAGTTGACCATTAGACCCCCCCAGGTATATTGGTTGGTACAAACTCACTTAAACATAACATGAATTCACTAAACACGACTTATAAATGATATGAATCCAATAAACACCAATCTAGAATATCCACGAATATTTATGAGTTGGGTAAAAAATGGAAATTTTTGACAAAACATAAACCCAAATGCGAGATACGACATGACACGACCTGGCTATTATCCATTTATCCACTCTAAGAAAAATACAATTGATTGAATTTGCATGAAGAAATTGTACAAGTGAGATTCGGTAACAGTACTGGTGTGGATCTTTTAATAGGCGGTTCAGTTCAAAGATGCTGGTCTACATGAATGGGTCATGATATTCAAGTTTTTGTTTCAGCTCCAAGGAAGGTAAGATTCCAGTTTCTCTCTGAATTGCATTGCATGGAATCAATTGGATTTTTCCATATATTCTTGCAAGCTGCTTTTGCTTTTGACTAAACCATGTAGGCTGGTTAAGCAATGAGACTAAGCACCCTTTGGGGTTAAAAGAGAGCAGATTGATGCACACTAAGTTTGATATTGTAATTAAAATTACTATAAAATAAAGATTCGCTTACGATTCAAGTTAGATCAAGTGAGTTATCACCGAAGAAAGTGAGGCCAACACTAAACTGTTATTCTTTTTTTGATTTANAATTACTATAAAATAAAGATTCGCTTACGATTCAAGTTAGATCAAGTGAGTTATCACTAAAGAAAGTGAGGCCAACACTAAACTGTTATTCTTTTTTTGATTTAATAGTCAAAATTGTCTGAATCAACTTACGCTTATTTCGATTAATTTTTTTTTTTTGATCTGATTAAAGATAGGTTATATACGTCAATAATAAGGTATTCATGAAAGATAAATCTCTCATAACTTACTCTCAAATAATTATTAAAATTCAAATTCAAAATTTCTAAATTTATAACTTACCACTTTAACTAAATTGGTCAAACGACCCACTTTGCCCTAACTACAAATTCACTTTGTAGTTANCAATTGATTGAATTTGCATGAAGAAATTGTACAAGTGAGATTCGGTAACAGTACTGGTGTGGATCATTTAATAGGCGGTTCAGTTCAAAGGTGCTGGTCTACATGAATGGGTCATGATATTCAAGTTTTTGTTTCAGCTCCAAGGAAGGTAAGATTCCAGTTTCTCTCTGAATTGCATTGCATGGAATCAATTGGATTTTTCCATATATTCTTGCAAGCTGCTTTTGCTTTTGACTAAACCATGTAGGCTGGTTAAGCAATGAGACTAAGCACCCTTTGGGGTTAAAAGAGAGCAGATTGATGCACACTAAGTTTGATATTGTAATTAAAATTACTATAAAATAAAGATTCGCTTACGATTCAAGTTAGATCAAGTGAGTTATCACCGAAGAAAGTGAGGCCAACACTAAACTGTTATTCTTTTTTTGATTTAATAGTCAAAATTGTCTGAATCAACTTACGCTTATCTCGATTAAATTTTTTTTTTTTGATCTGATTAAAGATAGGTTATACACGTCAATAATAAAGTATTCATGAAAGATAAATCTCTCATAACTTACTCTCAAATAATTATTAAAATTCAAATTCAAAATTTCTAAATTTATAACTTACCACTTTAACTAAATTGGTCAAACGACCCACTTGGCCCCAACTTCAAATTCACTTTGTAGTTGTTGTAACAGAGCACAAAACAACCCTTAAATACCTAATCTTTCACATCAAGCAACATCCCATTCTTACTTTTTGTTACCCCATCTTCCACGAATGGAATCATACTGTTCAAGGGGACTTGTTCATATACAACTATCCAAAACTTGCTCCATCAAACCTTTCACAGTTTTGTTCATTGTCTTGGCTGTTTGTGGCACAAGCAATGAAGAAAAAAGACAGTGATTCCCAGCCTCTTGGCTTCTGCCACAGGCTCCTCAACTTCATCATGAACAGCCTTCTTGTTCAAGGCCTAAAACGCATAACAGCAGGTCCTCCGGCGTCTCACGACGGCTCAATGGAAGTGCTTCTTGAAGGTTCATCCAGCAATGGAGACCAAACCCTCAAGCCCACCAATTCCACTGGGAAAGAAACAGTGATCCGACCGGCTCGGGCGAGGCCGGAGGACCATTTAAGCTCTGAAATCACTGTTGAGTTTCGGCATACCAATGGGTCCGAGACTTGGGCTCCAGCTGATCACAACCTCGATTCTTCCGGTAAGACTCCAAACAAAGATGGCTCAACTGTGATCAGTGATCAGACCCCATTGCAGAAGAGTGTGGAAGAAAGGAAGAGAGAGAAAGGAAAAGATCCTCTAGTACTCCAAGGCATGGAGCCTCCTGCAAATACAATTGGTTTTGGAGGGAGAGACCCAAAGAAGACGGTAATTACCATCAAAGATGGTGAAGATGAGAGGAAAGAGAATAACATAGCAACAGAAAAAGGCACAAACACGAAGCCTAGAAGGCCCATTCAGAGTCTAATTTCCAATATAAACGAGAAGTCTGACGCATTCATACGCCGGAAGAGGGAAGATATGAAGAAAAGTTACAGCTTTGATCCCAGAGAATCTTAACATTGTATGTATTTGTAATGTTTCTTGGTGAAAATCCTGTGATTCTATGCTTAGGTTTGAAAGGGTTTGGAATAAAATAGGTTATAATATGGTAGGTTTGTAATGAATTCACTCCTTGGAGCTTTTTGGAAATGGCAATATTACGAATAACACAACTTCTTAGTTTGAATACATTTGATTGTAAGGTCTTCTCTGCCAACATATTTTTGTTTTGATAGATGAAGTAGAGGATTTTAAATTGAATTGCCTTAATCATTTTAGAAGCAAATTGCTTCTATGGTTCACACACATCATCTGTTATGCTCAAGGAATTTTGTTTTAATTCTTTATATTATTTCGGTGACTTGGGGAACAAAAATATTTAAGAAATGTTTGAGTAACATTTCATAATAATACAATGTAAATGTAGGAAAAATTTAGAAATTTATTACAAAAACATTTGTCAAAACACCTTAAAACATAAGAATTTCAATATTCAACCACCCATTTTTTTTTTTGGAATTTTATAGAAACAAAAACATTCTGGCCATTTCAGCCTTTCAAAACAAAATTTGATCCATGATTATGTTGGAAAACCATGATATTATTTCCAGAGCAAAACAAAAATTCCCTCAAGTTATTTGAACATATAATCCATGAGATAAGTAGGAAATACATTCTGTTGTATTCTAAGCTTCTAAATTTGTTGCTCCATTACGGTTTGCATAACCTCAATCGATGTAAACCGAAATGGAGCAATAAATTTAGAAAGGAGGGTCCTCAAAAAGCACATTAAAAAACTAAAATTAAGACAAAAAAGTGTTAAAGGTAAAGGTAAAAGCATGATTTTACTAGATATACATGTAGCACACTGATTGGAACTTTTTTAATTAATAGGTAGATAACTTGATCAGAGGGGCATGGATAATCTGATGGATGTAGAGGAACATCAAACGAATCAGATGTTACCATTTTCATAACTCTACACAATAACGCCATCATCATACAATGTCGATTAAACAAAAACAGCAAAACTCAATATATATCAGATTTCTTCATGCTTTCGTCCCATTAAATTGCTCTCAGTTAGTTAATACTTCTCTCTCTTTAGCAGCTTCAAGTCAAATATAACTTCATTTTTTCTTCAAGATTTAATTTTTATCTCTCTCTCTCTCCGCATACCCGTTCACGTCTTTGCTTTCCAATGAATCATCCTCTTCTTTAAGTTTCCAAACCCCCCAATCTACTGACATTTCCTTCTTCAGTCTTCAAAAGAATGTTTTGATGAGCGAAAGAGATCATAAGGAGCCCATAGATTATCAACAGTGCAAGGTTTTCTTGAGTCCAACCTCAACCATGGCTTACCCTTGCCACTCCAATGGAGTAGGCTAATTGGCCCAGTATTTAAACTCCTACATTTTCCTTCAATATTATCACCACCCAAACCATGTTGGTTCCATCTATGATCAACAGCTTTTATATTCCCAGCCAAAACAAGCAAAAATGGTGGCAAAGAACCCAAATGGTATATCCTCTTGTGCTTTTGCACCATCATCCATTTTTCAACCTTCTTTGTATATTCTCCTTGTCTCCATTTATCCACATCCACCACCATTACTCCTGTGTTGAAGTAACAAGGTTTTCTACCTTCAAACGTTCTCGAGAGCGATCGGTCGGACCAGAAAACTTCGGTGAAGTACTGAGTGAAATTTGCGTGACAATATTCTGGTGCACCCAATACTTTATCACCCAAATCCATAGCCCATAGCTTTGCAATATCGTCAACCATGACAAGATCAGAATCGAGGTAGATTATGCGTTTGACATAGGTTGGTATTATATCTGCAAGATAGATTCGAGCATAGTTTAGAGGTTGGTCCAAAGCTTGGCGAATGGACCTCGAGATTAATCCACGAACACGGCGGGGATTGAAGCGATACACCTTGAATTTGAGGTAAGGGAAGGTGGACTTGATGCTCGAAAAGGTCTTGGGTTCAAATCTCGTCCACAGAAAGTGAAACATGACGTTTTCGGAGCATGTTGAGTGTTGTAGAATTGATAACACAGCGGCCATGGTACCTCTAAGGTAGTTGGCATCAAGGGTCATGGCAACATGAATCTGGTTTGTGGAAGGAGACCCACATGTCTCTCCATTGCGGAAAGCTGGGGCCTCGCGGAAGACGGGCACATCTGGAGAAGGCTTTTGGATGAGGCCAAGCCGGATACTGGTGGTGGTGACGGGGGCGGCGGCGAAGGTGGTGGTCAAGAAATGGAAGGTGAGGAAGAGAGACAGGAGGCCAAGGAGTGGATGAGAAGAGGAGCTCCAGAAGGCCATCCTGCTCTATCTATGCATTTGGAATGGAAAAGTTACGGAAAAAGAGCAATGGCAGCCATTGAAATCTGGCCAAGAGAAGCTTTAGGACAGGAAGAGAGAGGTTGGTTGAATTGTGAGGAAGAGAAGAAACCTCGGAGGATCTTCTTACGGACACATGGTTATATATTTTACACCAAATAAAAAATTAAAAAAAAAAGGTTCTTAAAAGTTTTATTTTAGCTATTTTCATTAAAAAAAAAAAAAAAAAAGCTAATTTCATTATTTAACTTCTCTATTATTTTGAAGTTTTTATCTTTTAAAGCTTTTATCCCTTNTTAAAAAAAAAAGGTTCTTAAAAGTTTTATTTTAGCTATTTTCATTAAAAAAAAAAAGAAGCTAATTTCATTATTTAACTTCTCTATTATTTTGAAGTTTTTATCTTTTAAAGCTTTTATCCCTTATTTAATTTCACACTATTTGCGTAAATCAGAGCAGTCTTGTAGCATATTCCTAGCAGATTGGGTGGATCACGTTATGGCTCACTTAGTCTTTAGGGAGCGCTTGTAGTTCTCATTGTCTAGGCCTTCTAGAACATGGCCTTCGCAGGTCTAGCTGCTACAATTATACCCACAGAGGATTTTAATGTTGGTCGCCTCCTTGCAACTTTTTTTGTGTCTAAATCCCCACATTTTTCAAGTTAAATTGCATTGGATCTCGTTAAGTAGGATGGGAGTTGGGTGATGTGAGGGTGGTGATTGTAGTATGGATGGGGGCCAAAAAAGAGGGATGGACTATTGGATGGGGGCCAATTAGAAGAATATAGGTGTGATTAATTGTCATGTGAGAAGCACAAAAATGTACCTTTTTTCTTAAGCAAAACTGGTGGAATTTGGGCAAGAGGTATGCATTGGATCGGATTAAGTAGTTTAAGGGATGAATGAAAATATCATTTTCAAATGATCAAGAAGACGCTTTCATTTTTAAAGAGATTGAAACGAATCATTAATTGAATCGAATTCTAATATTTTACAGTGTTTTGAGTTGTTTCCGTATATTTATATGAATATTTTAAAATATTTCGAGGTGTCTTAAGATTTTTAAATATATTTAGACTAATACTTTAAAATATTTTTAAAATAAATTCTTAAATTTTTTATTCATTTTTATTATGTTTTCAAAATATTTTCATCGGTAATCGAAACAATGTGCCGAAATGGTAATTTGATCCTTGGTTGAAGGGGTTAAAGTCAGACAACTAAAACCGTAAGGGCTGAAATAAAGTTGGGTGAAAGTTAAAGGGTCAAATATGATTTTAGTCTAGTATTAGTTTTAACTTATTACAGGAATATATTTGTTCGAAACTTTTACAAAATAATTCTTCCAAAATCTCTTCCTCGGAAACAAAAGTTTTATTTTTAATATAAAATATAATAGACTTCAATAAATTTATCTGACGGTTTTAAACAGATTAATTCAACGGCCACCACCATTCATATTGAATTTTTCCTCTTCTCAAAATTCATTAATTCTTTCTTATGTTGCTTTCGGGCACCGTTTACCCGTAGTTATATAATGAAAATTTTTGTTTTGGATCTAAAAGTTGCTCAAGTAGTAATAAGGTCGAATTGTAAATTCAGATATTTGAGTTTTAATTTTTGTAATTTTTTGAGGTTAGGACACGAGACATTTATCTTTTACTAGCAATGCAACACGTGTTTTGCACGTGAATAATTTTCGTATACACAATATTAATAAAAAATATTAGATATATGTGTACTTACATTAAATATCATATCAAGTTTATCATAAATTATATTTTTATCTTTCGTAACATATTATAAAATTAAAAAAATATTTTATATTCCCAGCGATTTGTTGTTCTAATTATAAGAAAAAAGATTAAAAAAAATTCATTTGAAATTCGTTTGATTAGGTTCCAACTTAAATAAAATAACAATAATTGTCGATATTCTTAGGTCAATAGGGATATAATATAAGGTTATTAACACTTTGGGTCGTTAAAATATGCATTTTGTTTGTCAATTTCATCTTTAATATATGAATTTTATCAATTTAGTCCATAAAATATTCAAATATTCAATTAATCAGATGATCCATTAAATTTTTTTTTATGAAAATGAACACACGTCATTACATCATTTAATATCACGTGATCACTTATGTCAAAAATTTAACAAATTGTTCGGGTGAATATCATTTAAACCATTAACTTTATAGAAAAAATTGATAAAATGAAAACAAAACTGNCATTGGATCTCGTTAAGTAGGATGGGAGTTGGGTGATGTGAGGGTGGTGATTGTAGTATGGATGGGGGTGGTAAAGAGGGATGGACTATTGGATGGGGGCCAATAAGAAGAATATAGGTGTGACTAAAACCGTAAGGGCTGAAATAAAGTTGGGTGAAAGTTAAAGGGTCAAATATGATTTTAGTCTAGTATTAGTTTTAACTTATTACAGGAATATATTTGTTCGAAACTTTTACAAAATAATTCTTCCAAAATCTCTTCCTTGGAAACAAAAGTTTTTTTTTTAATATAAAATATAATAGACTTCAATAAATTTATCTGACGGTCTTAAACAGATTAATTCAACGGCCACCAACATCCCATTTAAGACCATTCATATTGAATTTTTCCTCTTCTCAAAATTCATTAATTCTTTCTTATGTTGCTTTCAGGCACCGTTTATCCGTCGTTATATAATGAAAATTTTTGTTTTGGATCTAAAGGTTGCTCAAGTAGTAATAAAGTCGAATTGTAAATTCAGATATTTGAGTTTTAATTTTTGTAATTTTTTGAGGTTAGGACACGAGACATTTATCTTTTACTAGCAATGCAACACGTGTTTTGCACGTGAATAATTTTCGTATACACAATATTAATAAAAAATATTAGATATATGTGTACTTACATTAAATATCATATCAAGTTTATCATAAATTATATTTTTATCGTTCGTAATATATTATAAAATTAAAAAAATATTTTATATTCCCAGCGATTTGTTGTTCTAATTATAAGAAAAAAGATTAAAAAAAATTCATTTGAAATTCGTTTGATTAGGTTCCAACTTAAATAAAATAACAATAATTGTCGATATTCTTAGGTCAATAGGGATATAATATAAGGTTATTAACACTTTGGGTCGTTAAAATATGCATTTTGTTTGTCAATTTCATCTTTAATATATGAATTTTATCAATTTAGTCCATAAAATATTCAAATATTCAATTAATCAGATGATCCATTAAATTTTTTTTTATGAAAATGAACACACGTCATTCCATCATTTAGTATCACGTGATCACTTATGTCAAAAATTTAACAAATTGTTCGGGTGAATATCATTTAAACCATTAACTTTATAGAAAAAATTGATAAAATGAAAACAAAACTGATAAACATGTATATTTCATAGACTAAAAGTGCTATTAACCTTAAAATATAATACACTACTCTATAATATATATTTTAAAAGAATATTAAAATTCTAAAATTCAAGTTTTACTTAAAAATAAATTATAATTTTTTTATATAAATTCTTAATAAAACATTAAATTTTTACTGTGATTGGAGAATTATGTTGATTTAATATAAATTGATTTTTATAAAGATAAAATAGTAGATTAAAAANTTTAACTTATTACAGGAATATATTTGTTCGAAACTTTTACAAAATAATTCTTCCAAAATCTCTTCCTCGGAAACAAAAGTTTTATTTTTAATATAAAATATAATAGACTTCAATAAATTTATCTGACGGTTTTAAACAGATTAATTCAACGGCCACCACCATTCATATTGAATTTTTCCTCTTCTCAAAATTCATTAATTCTTTCTTATGTTGCTTTCGGGCACCGTTTACCCGTAGTTATATAATGAAAATTTTTGTTTTGGATCTAAAAGTTGCTCAAGTAGTAATAAGGTCGAATTGTAAATTCAGATATTTGAGTTTTAATTTTTGTAATTTTTTGAGGTTAGGACACGAGACATTTATCTTTTACTAGCAATGCAACACGTGTTTTGCACGTGAATAATTTTCGTATACACAATATTAATAAAAAATATTAGATATATGTGTACTTACATTAAATATCATATCAAGTTTATCATAAATTATATTTTTATCTTTCGTAACATATTATAAAATTAAAAAAATATTTTATATTCCCAGCGATTTGTTGTTCTAATTATAAGAAAAAAGATTAAAAAAAATTCATTTGAAATTCGTTTGATTAGGTTCCAACTTAAATAAAATAACAATAATTGTCAATATTCTTAGGTCAATAGGGATATAATATAAGGTTATTAACACTTTGGGTCGTTAAAATATGCATTTTGTTTGTCAATTTCATCTTTAATATATGAATTTTATCAATTTAGTCCATAAAATATTCAAATATTCAATTAATCAGATGATCCATTAAATTTTTTTTTATGAAAATGAACACACGTCATTACATCATTTAATATCACGTGATCACTTATGTCAAAAATTTAACAAATTGTTCGGGTGAATATCATTTAAACCATTAACTTTATAGAAAAAATTGATAAAATGAAAACAAAACTGATAAACATGTATATTTCATAGACTAAAAGTGCTATTAACCTTAAAATATAATACACTACTCTATAATATATATTTTAAAAGAATATTAAAATTCTAAAATTCAAGTTTTACTTAAAAATAAATTATAATTTTTTTATATAAATTCTTAATAAAACATTAAATTTTTACTGTGATTGGAGAATTATGTTGATTTAATATAAATTAATTTTTATAAAGATAAAATAGTAGATTAAAAAATTTTCAGCACATAGATAGGTGGATAAATATCTAAGTTTCGATGGTAGATGACATTTGACCAAATTAGTCGGCATATGATTGTGATTTTGAACAGACTGTAAATTCTGNATTCATTTGAAATTCGTTTGATTAGGTTCCAACTTAAATAAAATAACAATAATTGTCAATATTCTTATGTCAATAGGGATATAATATAAGGTTATTAACACTTTGGGTCGTTAAAATATGCATTTTGTTTGTCAATTTCATCTTTAATATATGAATTTTATCAATTTAGTCCATAAAATATTCAAATATTCAATTAATCAGATGATCCATTAAATTTTTTTTTATGAAAATGAACACACGTCATTCCATCATTTAGTATCACGTGATCACTTATGTCAAAAATTTAACAAATTGTTCGGGTGAATATCATTTAAACCATTAACTTTATAGAAAAAATTGATAAAATGAAAACAAAACTGATAAACATGTATATTTCATAGACTAAAAGTGCTATTAACCTTAAAATATAATACACTACTCTATAATATATATTTTAAAAGAATATTAAAATTCTAAAATTCAAGTTTTACTTAAAAATAAATTATAATTTTTTTATATAAATTCTTAATAAAACATTAAATTTTTACTGTGATTGGAGAATTATGTTGATTTAATATAAATTGATTTTTATAAAGATAAAATAGTAGATTAAAAAATTTTCAGCACATAGATAGGTGGATAAATATCTAAGTTTCGATGGTAGATGACATATTTTTGACCAAATTAGTCGGCATGTGATTGTGATTTTGAACAGACTGTAAATTCTAATGAATGCTGCCGACAAAAACTCGCTTGAACGATGTCGTATTAATTACTTAGTGTAGTGTTAGTTGCAAGAATATCCTTGGTCTAAAAGAACAGTTCTTTGACGTTTGTTAACAAGTTATCTCGCTCTCTCCCCTAAATTTTTATTTATCCCAATTTATCCATTGACCTATATAATTGATTTTAATTGATACATTCTGTTTATTTTAAAAATTAAATAAAACAGATTTAACACACGTGAGATGCACATGAGTGTTGGTTGGAGATTTTAATTTATGTAATTTAACTTATAAAATTAACAAAAGGTGTCCTTTAAAACTAACTATACAGTTCAAGGGATAAATTGAGATAAATAAAAGTTTAAGGGGCATTAAAGTAAATATCATAGTTTAAGGGGTATTGATAAAATTTATCCAAGAATTTCCATATGTAAAAAGANGGGTCGTTAAAATATGCATTTTGTTTGTCAATTTCATCTTTAATATATGAATTTTATCAATTTAGTCCATAAAATATTCAAATATTCAATTAATCAGATGATCCATTAAATTTTTTTTTATGAAAATGAACACACGTCATTCCATCATTTAGTATCACGTGATCACTTATGTCAAAAATTTAACAAATTGTTCGGGTGAATATCATTTAAACCATTAACTTTATAGAAAAAATTGATAAAATTGATACAATGAAAACAAAACTAATAAACATGTATATTTCATAGACTAAAAGTGCTATTAACCTTAAAATATAATACACTACTCTATAATATATATTTTAAAAGAATATTAAAATTCTAAAATTCAAGTTTTACTTAAAAATAAATTATAATTTTTTTATATAAATTCTTAATAAAACATTAAATTTTTACTGTGATTGGAGAATTATGTTGATTTAATATAAATTAATTTTTATAAAGATAAAATAGTAGATTAAAAAATTTTCAGCACATAGATAGGTGGATAAATATCTAAGTTTCGATGGTAGATGACATTTGACCAAATTAGTCGGCATATGATTGTGATTTTGAACAGACTGTAAATTCTGATGAATGCTGCCGACAAAAACTCGCTTGAACGATGTCGTATTAATTACTTAGTGTAGTGTTAGTTGCAAGAATATCCTTGGTCTAAAAGAACAGTTCTTTGACGTTTGTTAACAAGTTATCTCGCTCTCTCCCCTAAATTTTTATTTATCCCAATTTATCCATTGACCTATATAATTGATTTTAATTGATACATTCTGTTTATTTTAAACGTTAAATAACACAGATTTAACACACGTGAGATGCACATGAGTGTTGGTTGGAGATTTGAATTTATGTAATTTAACTTATAAAATTAACAAAAGGTGTCCTTTAAAACTAATTATACAGTTCAAGGGATAAATTGAGATAAATAAAAGTTTAAGGGGCATTAAAATAAATATCATAGTTTAAGGGGTATTTATAAAATTTATCCAAGAATTTCCATATGTAAAAAGAAAAAAAAAAAACCTCATTGGTCCAAATAGCTGCTTTACAGCATATCAAATTTATTCTTGGCTCTGGCTCCAATACGAATATACTTTCCTAAAACCTTCGGATCACACAGATCGTTCATTCATACATAAACCAACGCAAATCGTCCTAAATATTCGATGCTTCGCCGACCATTACTAGCACAGACCCAAACACACTTCAGTGATTTTGAGTTCTGACTGGCTGTTGCACATATTTCTGTTTTCGTTTCTATTCAAACACACTAATTTTAGATAACCCCTTTTTGAAGAAGAATTGAATGAGAAGAACCCGCTGTGGTGTTCTTGACTTTTCTTTTGCTAATATTATGGTATAATCAGCATTGGATTGTTGGAATTTTCTTCGAAATCGAAAACCCATTACTAGACTTTGAAGAATGGAAAGAAAAGAACCCGCTAAGGGTATGAATTAAAATCCCACATGTCATACTGCTTTCTTTCTTTCTTTCGTTTCTTTATTTCTTTAATTTGAACTGCTCTTGCAAGATCACCTTGAATTGAAGAAATTGTCTTAAAGAAGTGTGAATTATGGGCGGATTAGCATGTTTTTATCCTAAATCTTCTATACTTCCGTCCAAATCTGGCACACACCAACACCCAGGATCGTGACTTTGAGTTCTGACTGGCAGTTACACATATCTCTGTTTCTTCTTTATTCACACACTAATTTTAGAAAAACCCTTTTTAAGAATAAGTGAAAGAAAAGAACCCACTGGGGGGTTTTTGAATTTCTTTAATATTATTTTCTGATCATGATTTTAGTTCTTGAAGGATATCTTGCATATTTTTGGTAATGGNCCCTTTTTGAAGAAGAATTGAATGAGAAGAACCCGCTGTGGTGTTCTTGACTTTTCTTTTGCTAATATTATGGTATGATCAGCATTGGATTGTTGGAATTTTCTTCGAAATCGAAAACCCATTACTAGACTTTGAAGAATGGAAAGAAAAGAACCCGCTAAGGGTATGAATTAAAATCCCACATGTCATACTGCTTTCTTTCTTTCTTTCGTTTCTTTATTTCTTTAATTTGAACTGCTCTTGCAAGATCACCTTCAATTGAAGAAATTGTCTTAAAGAAGTGTGAATTATGGGCGGATTAGCATGTTTTTATCCTAAATCTTCTATACTTCCGTCCAAATCTGGCACACACCAACACACAGGATCGTGACTTTGAGTTCTGACTGGCAGTTACACATATCTCTGTTTCTTCTTTATTCTCACACTAATTTTAGAAAAACCCTTTTTAAGAATAAGTGAAAGAAAAGAACCCACTGGGGGGGTTTTGAATTTCTTTAATATTATTTTCTGATCATGATTTTAGTTCTTGAAGGATATCTTGCATATTTTTGGTAATGCNCACATATTTCTGTTTTCGTTTCTATTCAAACACACTAATTTTAGATAACCCCTTTTTGAAGAAGAATTGAATGAGAAGAACCCGCTGTGGTGTTCTTGACTTTTCTTTTGCTAATATTATGGTATGATCAGCATTGGATTGTTGGAATTTTCTTCGAAATCGAAAACCCATTACTAGACTTTGAAGAATGGAAAGAAAAGAACCCGCTAAGGGTATGAATTAAAATCCCACATGTCATACTGCTTTCTTTCTTTCTTTCGTTTCTTTATTTCTTTAATTTGAACTGCTCTTGCAAGATCACCTTCAATTGAAGAAATTGTCTTAAAGAAGTGTGAATTATGGGCGGATTAGCATGTTTTTATCCTAAATCTTCTATACTTCCGTCCAAATCTGGCACACACCAACACCCAGGATCGTGACTTTGAGTTCTGACTGGCAGTTACACATATCTCTGTTTCTTCTTTATTCTCACACTAATTTTAGAAAAACCCTTTTTAAGAATAAGTGAAAGAAAAGAACCCACTGGGGGGGTTTTGAATTTCTTTAATATTATTTTCTGATCATGATTTTAGTTCTTGAAGGATATCTTGCATATTTTTGGTAATGCGTTATCGTCATTGTCTTGGAAATCGAAAACCCAATACTGGATTTTTGGCATTAGTGTCAGAAGTAATGAAATCGAATTGAATTCATCTTCTTGACAAGAAAGAGCTGAATTATGGGGAGTTTTCTTGGTGGCTTTATATTGCCTTTGCTGCTTTTGACAGGTACGAATTCTAATCCTCCCATCTGTCATACTGGATTTTTTCTTTTTCCTTTTTGCCCCCTGTTCGATTTATTTCATTGTAATGTTCTCACAAGATCATCTTGAATTGATGAAATGGTCATAAAGAAGTGTGATTTATGGGCAGATTAGCATGTTCTCACATACAGTAGTATGTGTTGTGAACATCTTGGGAGTTGTTTGACACCATCTCTGATTTTGCTGTAAGACGGGGAAGTTGCATTTGTGTGATGCCATTGTTAGTATTTTTCTATTTGTTTTTTTTTCTGAGATGTCCACTTTGTAAGCAGGAAGAAATTGGGTGTAAATGAGCACACGTATTGTTTAATTAATCTACAAACTTAATGAGAAATTCATTTTTATGTCTCTTTACTGTATTTGAAAATCTTGGAGTTTGTCCTTGAAATAGTTTAAACTTAGTTTTGGTGTTATTATCAAAAGCCTTTCATTTCCTTCTGCAAGTTGTGCCCCATTAGCTGGCCTGAGACTTTACATTAGGTATTCTTCTATAATATAAGTTTGACCCTTTGGACCAAATGATATTATTATATCTGGAGACTGATAGCAGCTTGTGTAATGGAATACCTTGAATTATGGGCTTCAAATCTGAAAGTTTGATGTTCAGAAGTCAAAACTTGCAAGTTCTGGTGGAAGGGTTGAATTTGATGTTTTTGTTAAGTGACCTATAGATGCTCTAAATGCAGTGGAAAATGTAAGCATTGATGTTATTCGAGGTGGATGTTCTATTACAACTACTACGGCCCTAATATCATAAGTCATAACTGTATGCTCTACTTAGGTGCTAATATGTTACCATTTGGATTTATTCCGATTACCTTCATGCATATCGTAGTGGGCATGGAATGAATACGAGATACAAGTACACTACGGTATGGTACAAAACAAACACTACAATAAGATAAAATAGACCAAAAAAAACATTTTTCTTGTTTGATTTTTGAACTATGAAACCATATTTAATTTCTATAAGTAAACTCAACTCAACTCAACTCAACTCAACTCATCTGTCCCAACTATTTGGCGTCAAAGACATGAATCTTATTTCTTCGTTTGTACTCTGTCGAGGGTTATATTTTCAGTTAAGCCATGAGCTATCATTTATTTTTTTTCCTCTAGATATTTATTAAGTCACTCTTTCCAACTGGTGCATTACTAAGTTTTTTACAAACATGTCCAACTACCATAGTCTATATATAGTAATTCATCTCCTTATATATCTCCTATTGGTGCTACTCCTATGGTTTCACAAACATACTTATTCTGAATTATGTCATTTCGTATTTTACTATACATTCATCTTAACATCCACATTTCTGCACCACTTAGGTTTTGACCATGTTGTTTATTAATTGTCTAACCTTATGTTCCATGAAGTATTACTAGTCTAATAGTTGTCTTAAAAAATTTACCTTTCAACCTATGAGAATGGTCCATCTGAGATGTATACGTGGATCACATAATACGCCAGAAAATGGTCTAGTTGAACAAGAGATGTCAGGACTCAGGAACATTATTAGTTTTTCCATTGTCATTGTCAGCATTATGCCACTACCAAGTATCTCTTGGGACTGTGATACTTCTCTAGGGTCTGAAGAAAAGAATTACGAGGGGCTTTTGAGGTCCAAAATATCAAAACAAATGAGGAAATGGTTATATATGCACGAATATCTCCCATAAATCGTTTAGGAGTAGTCATTCTTAGAGTTGCTACTGCATCGTTTGCTCGATGCATTGAATATGTGTATTGTTTCATGAGTTGTGTCATGATATCGTCTTTTATGTTGTGTGTAAGCATACTTTATGGCTTTAACCATTGTCACTGTCTTCTTTATTGCAGCTGCTTTACTAAATTGGAGTTTGATCTCTCTTGTTGATCTGGTAGCTTTTCTTCTCATCCGATTCATTGCACCAAAACGAGGCGAGCCACTTTTGTTGATCCACCTTTCTGGTTCCAGTTTTGACTAAGCTGCTTTTCCATAATAATCATGTGAATTTGTGCTACTGGTTTTTGAAATTCACTTGGTTTTTCATTGGGAGGTTCCTTTTGTTTTTTCTATTTCTTTGTCCATTTCATGCACAAAGAAATGTGAAGTCAAGGAAACACATGCAAAATAGGAACATGTGTGCAGGAGTGTGTACCTAGATAAGCACACACTTATTCGTTACTTGGATAATAAGTGTTAGATGAGCAAGCAATGGGTGCTATGTCGGGCTTTTTGTGCTTTAGTNTGTGTGCACCTAGATAAGCACACACTTATTCGTTACTTGGATAATAAGTGTTAGATGAGCAAGCAATGGGTGCTATGTCGGGCTTTTTGTGCTTTAGTTATTTTTCTCCTTTTTCTTTGTACAAAGACACGAGGAAAATAACAGCCTCCTATTTCTCATATTTAAAAGCACAGTTTCACTCATGCTTTGTCTTCTTCACCCTGATTATAACCTGAAATTGGAGGATATTTGTGAATTTTTCGGTGCCTCATCATTATTATATAGTGGATCAATGTTCAACAATACTTCTGTCTTTTTGTCTAGTTCTTGTAGTGCAACACGATGTANTTCTTCACCCTGATTATAACCTGAAATTGGAGGATATTTGTGAATTTTTCGGTGCCTTATCATTATTATATAGTGGATCAATGTTCAACAATACTTCTGTCTTTTTGTCTAGTTCTTGTAGTGCAACACGATGTATTAAATATACTCTAAGGCGATTTTCTATCCAGCAGTGGGGGAAATTCATGTGTAGGTGATGTCTGGATATGAAAAATTTTGGCTGCTAAAGAAGTGTTTGTTTTGTTTGTCTCAGTTGCTATTGACCAAATTCATTTTTATTTTAACTTTTTTGAATTACTTAGGAGAGCATGGGCCAAGAAAAACTGGTTCCACTGTGATTTTACTTACTTGACGAACCCTCTTGTAATTTGATGGTAGCTAATTTCCTGAATGTTGGCATGTCCTATAAAAACATGGAAACCAATATACCATGGCATATTACTGCAGTAGTTTCATATTTCTCTTCACTGTAACAAATTCCTGGCTGAGCAGCTGATGTAGTTTGAAACAAGCAAGATAGGGAGATGTACATCCTCTAGTGGGCATATTTATAGGACAAATTTGCTGCTCTTGCTTTATCTGTAATTTATAAGCTACAAGATACCTCTTCAACGGAACAGGCTATATAAGATTTTGATAAAGTACATTTTTAGTAGGCCTGTCCTTGTTGGTGATCTTCTAGGGTTACATCTATGCATACTGAAATTAAACCTCATGTATTCCCATTCCTTGAATATGCTATGCTTCCATGCATTTTGTTGTTGTTTTGTGATGTGGGTTATGATTGTAGTATTTGGTAATATGCTCTCTTTTGAGTTTAATAATGTTCTTTCCGGAGTTTAATAATGGTGTTACAATTCAGTATGCCATGGATAATTACATGTTGTGGGTTGTCTATGGAACAACATATGGATAAGTGAAAGATATATCTGGACATTTATCTTATTTTTTTTTTCAAGATAAATGTTGTGGGAACCCGGATATATTTAGCTTGGTGTTGGATGAGTTGTTCTTGTGGCAGACAGTAGACTAGGTCAACTTCTGGAGAGGAGAGTGGCGTGGAATCATAGATTTGGTAGGTCCTTCATCTAGTAGTTAGTAGGAACTGAAACCATGGTGAGGTGGACTTGCCAGAGATTAAGATTTGACTAAAAAAGCCACCTATGGAGGGAGTAAGATTTTCTCAGTCAAATCTTACTCTCTGACTTTCACAGGTTATCAAGGGACTCCTTTTCCCCCCCTCTATAGGTGCCTTTTCTTTGTCTTGGTTGTTGCTTTGGATGCTATTCTTGCTGGGATAATTTGATGTGGAGGATAAATGTGCTCATGGATTTGTTTTGTCTGTCCAAGAGCGCCTGAGAAACATCAAATTACTTCTCCACTGTGAGGTGGTGAGGAAGTTTGGTCATTGCTCCTTTCTCCTCTTGAAGCTTGTTGGGTCATTCAAGCTTTGTGGAGCTGGTTCACTGGAATTTGAAAATGAGCTAAGTCAGAAAGTTGAATGAGAGCTTGAGAAATGGCTCCTTTGTGCCTCAAGTGGGCCATTTCGAAAGGAATAAGAGGTCCTTCAAGGGTGTTAAGCTTCTTTACATAAGCTTAAGCATATGCTTCAGCGAACTCTTAATGAGCTTTACATTCTAGATTCCAAGAATTATGTAGGGTTTTTGTGTTCCTTGCATATCTTTTTGAGCCTTTGGCTTTCCAATCGTCTACTTCACTTGTAATTGGGTTCTAAGCTTTTTTAGATTCTAGGAACAACTGCTGTGCCACTAAACTCAGTCTCACATAATTATAAGATGGTTATTCTTCTCTTATCTTCTGAATGGAATTTTACAGGTTTTATGGAGTTTAGAGTTATTTTCTCTTGTAACAGCACTAACATATCTTTTTCATAAATTATTATTTTTTTGTGTAGGTTTCCGCTTTAAAGGAAGATGTCTATTATTATGGTCCGTTATCCTATTTTCGCTTCTTGTTATTTTTTCACAAGTGATATTTCTTATTATGTGGGCCACTGGGGGTGGTGAATGGAGTTTAGCAGATACTTGGTGGGCAAAGCTAATTGGATTCATGAAGTAAGTACTGATCTTAATTTTAGTTCTGCTCATTATTCCATTCTTATATAACTTTTGCAGAGGATGCTTTTCTCCTGTGCATATTTTAGTGGTATAGTTTTTTTTTCCCTCCTAGATATGTATGCTAACCTGATATACTTTCGCAGAGTTGAATCTTGGAGAAACCCCTTAGTAATCTATTACTTGGTTGTACAACTTTTAGTTGCTGTTATTGCTTTATTTGAAATCCATGGGGACAAATTTGGTTTGGTTCAATGGCGACATTCATGTTGGCTACATCTCTCATCAGTTGTTGAAAATATAGGTTAGTAACTGTTTTTTAAAATCTATCTTGTTTGTCTTAAATTCTGTAATGTTGATTTACTACATGGTCTCACCCAAGCTCCCATCTTTATGCATATCAAATAGAAACTGTAATGCAGTGTAAATAACCTGATTAGGGCAGCACCAAATTTTTCTTAGGTGATGCGATACGAACTCTAGGAAATTACTTAGGGGGAACTAAAAATGATGGCACAAGCAAGGCATGTGGTCCCTTTTCCTTTTTACGTTTTTAAAACCAATCTTTGGCAGCCAGAAAATATTGGTTGGGTGGTTGTATTTGATTGGATGATTTTTAAGTTGGATCATTCTTTTGAAATGGAACTGTTGTAGTAATACTGGCATAGATATCTCCTGTTATGTTAATATTTTCCATTTAACAGGGGGAGACACCAAGTCAGGGAACAACCTAGAGTTGGTTTACAACCTTAGTTGTCAAATCGTGATTCGTATCATGAATCGGAATCCTAAATTCAATTTAAGAATTATGAACTGTATCAAATTGTGAATTGTAAGATCTGACACAAAATTTGAACAAAAATAAAAAATAATATCTACATATTTAAAATGGGCAATATATTTAATATTGAATATTATTACATTCTAAAAATAATCAATTGACATAATTACGTCGTCTAAATGAAAAGACGCTAACCTTTTGCTTAACCATTTTCAAATTCAATAACTTAAAAAAAAAAAATTCATTAAAGAATCATGGCTATTCAAGAATCAAATCAGTGACACCCATAACAAATTAAGTTACAAATATGAATGAAAAAAGAACAAATACAAATATTGATTGGGAGAAAACATACGGACCAACATTTTGAAACAAAAAATTAGAACCTAACAAACTACCATGAAAGAATTGAGACCAAAAATCAAAGTTTATTCTGAAATATGGTGGCAGGAGATAGAAAAATTCAATGTAAAAAAAAAGAAGTAAAAAGGCTTGTTAGGGCTTACTTACTACTAAGAAAAAGAAGNCAAAGTTTATTCTGAAATATGGTGGCAGGAGATAGAAAAATTCAATGTAAAAAAAAAAAAAGTAAAAAGGCTTGTTAGGGCTTACTTACTACTAAGAAAAAGAAGAAGAAGAAGAAGAAGAAGAAAAGGAGCATGAGGCATATCTTCAGCTGATGACGCTAGAGTTTTAGCCTTAAGACAACGCGAGGCGAGTTTTAGACGACCCGAGAGAGAATGAGAGAACGAGCAAAGAGATCAAGTTTTTATTAGGGCATGAGTTCTTCTGCAAACAAAACGATGTTGTTTTACTATTTACCGGACAAAACGACGTTATTTTGCTAAAAATCTAGGTTTTAAAAAAAAGTAAATGAATCGTGTGATTTGTGTAATACGAATCCAATTGTATGATTAAAGTGCGATTCAACTCTAAAAATGATTCTCATTGCTTGTATTGAACCAAATTGTACAATTCGAATTGCGAATCGTACGATTTTGATAAGTATGTTTATAACCAATAAAGGTAAAAAGAAGTGCGTGTTTCTTAAGCGGGCATATGTTTTTGATGAGGTTGATCAACAACTTTAGTGATGTCCCAAAGTCAAGGGCTGATAGTTATGGTGTATTAGCCAGCCTTGCATGTAGATTGGCAGTTGACTAATTGTAGATATGAACTAGTTGGGTGGGTCACATGAGGCATGCAAAGACCTTCTAACTCTTCAGTTGGGTGCACTGGAATGCATGACTTTTGAACTGAATGAACCAACTATTAGAAAAGGTGGTGCAAGTTTTAATGATATTGTCCAAAAGGGGATACATATTAATTTTTTGGCCAAGCGTCAGGGNCACTGGAATGCATGACTTTTGAACTGAATGAACCAACTATTAGAAAAGGTGGTGCAACTTTTAATGATATTGTCCAAAAGGGGATACATATTAATTTTTTGGCCAAGCGTCAGGAACAACCGTTGGCAACTCATTCACGAATTGGTGATGGTATTTGGCATAGTTGGCCTGCATATTGCGCGTGCAAGATAAGGAAACACGTTTCAAGCAAATCTCAGTCGAATTGTTGAATGAACTCCAAGAAAGAAAAATTGCTTGGCATGATAAGAGAAACCTTATTGCCACGAACGCCATAGCATGTGGAAGTCAACAACAGCAATATAGTAACAACAAAAATGGACTCCTTGGATGGTATTGCATGTTCCGATAGGTGGGTTTCCATAGCTTAGCTTGAAGTGTAATTATTTTGTGGCTGAAACCCTAGAATTCCAGCCAAGCTGAACTGGTGCAACTATATGTGTGAGCAAGCCCAAATGGAAATGACTATTAAATACTAGAAAAGCTTACATAAAATTGGTATTCAAATAGGTATGAGGCTTGTGAGCTTCTTAACTCATTGCCAATTGGTTTTAATTTAAGTGTTTTAGCATGGTATTGGGGCTAGGCTTTGGATTTCATTGATATGGTAACCGTTTGATTGTACCAAATATGTGCAGTACTGTGCCCCTTGTGGTTTTGCTGCCCACCTTTGCACATGCGACGGAAAATCGCATGTGCATGGCAGTGTTAGAGCTTGTCCCAGATCAGTATTATAGTGCATCCCAAACCAGTATGTAAGCCTTGTGAGTCTCTAAACTCATTGCCAATTGGTTTTAAGATAGATGCTTTAACATAAGTGATGTGCTTGTGCTATTACTGGGAATTGCATCTGCAAACTGAATGAATCAGAGCTTCAGTCATGTGCTTGCTAAGAACTAATAGGATATATGTGAAGCTGGTTTGTGGGCTAGTTCTTGAAATTGTACATGATAAGTTAGGAATATGAATAATAACCCCATAGCTGAAAATTTTTGGTTGCTGATGCTCAACTGAGATTTACACACAATATGTGAACCTTGATGCATGTATTATCCTCATCACATGCTCTTTCGTCTTTTTGGATATTCTCTCTGTCTCTGTCTCTGTCTCTCTCTCTCCCAACAATAGAAATTATGTTCATCTGCAAATTACTTGTTACAAGCCTCATTTTTAAACCTGTTTATAAGGTTTGAATGTTTTGGACTTGAATATTTACAGTTCCTAGTCTAATTTCAATCGCATAAAATAATTAATTATTTAGTTTTTTTTCTTTTGCTCGGTTGCCACATGTAAGGTTCTCATCTTAGGATCACTTCCTGCTTTCTGTTACCCGCCATTCAACTGGTTGTGGGAATCAGCAGTCCCTCTTGGATTTCTTTACCATTTTTCATCTGTAGCTGCGTTGGTCTTGTCGATTGGTCTTTAACAAGCAATTTTCTAGGCCTTTTCAGGTAATTAGATTGCAGGTATTGTTTCTTTCTAGCACAGTAATATTGAATATTGTCCTTTTAATTCTTTCTTTGTGACATTCAATTTTGTTGTTCAGCCCTTAATGACTTCTGGTTTTTTGCATGTTTTTGAAGGTGGTGGAGGCCTCTCTGGCTGTATGCAGGCTTCAACATTGGCCTACTTTATCTGTATCAGCTCCCTATTGGTTTCCCAAAGATGTTCTATGGTATATGTAACTTCATTGGTCTGTACAAAATATCTGTGGAATCTGAGTGGCCAGAAATTTGTTCTGGTCTTTCTCTGATAGCGTTCTACTCCATGGTATGCATCTGTCAGTTACATTCAGGACTTCCAGTTGAGTGTTGGGTCAATGGCATTCTTACTTGAATGAGTGTGAAAATCTATTCCAACTTTTCTGGAATCAAAATCTGCACAGTTTACAGTGGTCTGGCCTTTTAGTTTAATGGAACTCATGTTTCTTTTTGATTATAGTTGCTTGTTGTATCTATGACATTGTGAGGTGAAAGGACTTAAGTTTTAAGGGTTTATGATCCAAATGGTAAGACTAGGGTCAATAGAGTTGGGATCCTTTTGGCTGAAGTTTCAGGCAGAAACTTTTGGACAGCAAAGAAAAAAATAAGTTTAGGGCTAGAAGGTTCAGTAATTAGGGAAAAGACTGAAGATTTAGGAATCGGTTTAATGGAAATGTATGGCTCTTGATTGAGCACAACAAAGAAACATGATTTATATAGCTGATCTTAAATAGTTTGGATAAGGGCTTTGTTGAGTTGAGTACAACAGATTTAGGAATTTAGGGGTAAAGAAGTAGTCTAATTGAAGGAAGGTGCATAGTTTTCATAGTTCAGAGCAGTGCAGGATTTGTACGCTACTTAGAAAGGAAAAATAGAAGGGAATGGGTAGGAACGTTGTAGTCTCACATAGTTCTTGGAGTCAACTAGAAAACTTTAACAGAGTCTCATCGTCAAAAAAGAAGCAAAATGTTACAGATAACTCCTACTGATTGACTGGACTGAATTCTCTTTACAAGGGCCTCTTAATATGGAAGCATGAGTAATAGAAACTCAAAAACTCCCAGAAGTGGGATTGAAAAACGAATAACAAAGATACCATTCCTGGAACTAAACAGTGCCCAATCTGGAGTTTTGAGTACTACAATGGCCTTAATCAGTAAAATATCTAAAACACCCATGANAATATGGAAGCATGAGTAATAGAAACTCAAAAACTCCCAGAAGTGGGATTGAAAAACGAATAACAAAGATACCATTCCTGGAACTAAACAGTGCCCCATCTGGAGTTTTGAGTACTACAATGGCCTTAATCAGTAAAATATCTAAAACACCCATGATTTTGCAAATTTTGATATTTCCCAGCACAAAAGTAATGGAAATAATAGGGACTTTTCTTTTTTTCGATAAGAAACAACAATTTTATTAGTAATTAAAGGAAAATATTACAAACAATCAAAGATGGACAAGTTATCTAAACCCAAGAATGGATCCCATTCTTTATCATAAAAAAAAACCATGAAAAAAAAGAGAGAAATATTCTCAAACTCCTTGGTCACAGATGCCCATAATGAAACCAAGAAGTATAACTGGTCCAATAAACATTCAACTTCCTCTTGTATTAAAAAATTCTCNAGGGACTTTTCTTTTTTTCGATAAGAAACAACAATTTTATTAGTAATTAAAGGAAAAAATTACAAACAATCAAAGATGGACAAGTTATCTAAACCCAAGAATGGATCCCATTCTTTATCATAAAAAAAAAACCATGAAAAAAAGAGAGAAATATTCTCAAACTCCTTGGTCACAAATGCCCATAATGAAACCAAGAAGTATAACCGGTCCAATAAACATTCAACTTCCTCTTGTATTAAAAAATTCTCGCACATTCCTCTCTCTCCATATCACCCAAATGAGAGCAAAAAAAACACACTGCTTCAGAACCCACCTCTTGTCTTCAGAAATAATACGGGCTTATCCAAACCCACCTAATGAGTTTCCAATCATTTGGCGGCGATGGTATGGCCCATTGATCTCTTGGTGTAGGGCACACTTGGATGGTTCCTTTTTTTTTTACTCCTCTCCAAAAAGAACACTTTGATGTCTTGGTCCCATAATCAATCATTGTTAAAAAGTCATATCATTATGCACATTTTTGTGGAATAATAACCATGCTATGTAGGTTGACATATTTTCAGATCCTCTTAACTCTCTGTTTTAATTTTTAGAGTGATTACCCATTAAGTAAGTCGGGTTATGGGAGCTTGATTGATGAAAGATGGAGAATTTGGTAAAGGCACTTTATTCTGAACATAGAGGTGATTTTGCCTTATATGTTAAGGTAGATTGATTTGCAAGGTAATTTCTTGGAAGCTTTAATTGGTTTATGTATAGAATTTTCAGATTGGTTACATAAAGTGTAGAAGCAGTTTCATAAGCAATCCACACATTGGTACTCTCCTTTGTTATCTGTGTCTCTTTGTTTGGCGTCTTTGACTTTTCAAGGCATCCTTTGACTTTGACTTTTAGATTGATAGTTTGGTTGGACTCTCAGGATCCTGACGATCTGCATTTATGGTTTGGGCAAGAATCAAAATTTTGTTTTGGCGTATTGTTTCGGTCACATAAGAAAACGAAAATGTTTCAACGTGTTTCAGAAATATAATAAAAAAATTAAGAATTATTTTTTCAAAACATTGGTCGAAATATACCAAATTTCGTGAAATACCTTGAAACAATTGTACAAATGCATTGAAATATAATAAAATATTTTGAAATATTATGGAATATCTCGAAGTATTAAAATTTTGATTTCATCACTGATTCATTTCGGTCTCCTTATAAATGAAAACGTTTTGGACGTTTCAAAATGATATTTTGATCCTTGAGTTCAGGGTAATCCAAATTTTGCAAATAGTTACTTGCAGCTTGCACCAAGGAAGTTAATATGCAAATTGGTGTAAAATATTCCTTATATGTCCTACGTTTTTTTGTTGATGGAAAAGGGTACTTTTTGTTATTGATACTAATGTACCGGTTGTTTGCGGTAAATTATAGCTCAATCCTGTTGCATAATTCTACACAGCTATCATGCATCAGATGTGACTTGGCGGAAATGGATTTCCTCATGTCCATGAGAGAAGGCAACTTAACTGAGCAGCTTCTACCCTCAAGGCATTCTTTTTTTATTCGTGAATCAAGGTAACTGACTTGGAAAAATTGTTCATTTAATCTACACCATGCCATTTTGTCTTAAATTTCTTTTTCTTGGCTTACAAGATAGTTATAGTGATCTCACCAAGAAAGATCAGTTTAAAAAAAAAAAAAAAATCTCATCAAGAAAGATATTATGATTGTCTTTGCTCATTCTATTGCAAACAAAATCTTTGACGTATAAAATTTTGCTCCAATTTGGTAGACCTTAGTAAGTCTACTTCTACATAAACTTCTGGCAATTGGAGCTGATAAGTTTTTATTCAATAAGAAACCTTTTGACTATCGAACTATTGCAGAGAATTGCAGAACTTTCCAGCTTTGTTCAGCTTCAAAAATTTATTCTGAATGCTTTTGTTCTTTTTATACTGTTATTTAAATTTATTTTCAAAATCAAGTTGTTAAGTGCACCCTGCTTTTTCAGAAACCTTATTGTTTCGTTATTTTCTTGTTCTCTCTTTTTTATATTCCTTTTGACGTTGCCTTACCCCTACTAAGCTTGCATGTAGATCGATTGGAAGTCATGCCTCTCCTTGATATTATATTGACATAAGTTAATTCAGAAAAACCGAATCTCATATTGAGTAGGCTTTTAAAAAGATGCTGAACATGATTGGAAGAGAAGAAGAAGAAGAAGAAAAGGAAGATATAGAGAGATAACATTCTTCAAGCTGTGATGCTGTTGATTTTCTGGCAAATTCTATGAAATATATCTTTCTAGAAATTTGAGATTTTTTTTGTGTTTATTTTGGGGAAAAGTTTTTTTTCAAAGCATTGGGCTGGGAGAAGACGGACATGAATGTCCAGATTATACTGGCACAATCAATGTCCAAATGTGAAGAAATGTGGTGAGATAGTTGATTATAGTGCTAGCTATAAAAAATTGCCAATGACATAAACCCATGTCCCAGCCCACATATGTTGAATTTAGTCAGAAAACTTCAGGATGGATAATATATTAACACCTAATTGAAATGTTCAAGTTTATTCTTATCTTATGCCTTATTAAACGTAGCAAGAGTGTTGAACCTTAGAAGGCAGAAAGTCTGGTTGCCAAAAAGTCACCTGAGTAGCATGGACTCAAGGATATGAATGTTCTATTATAAAAACTATCGAATATTTCTTTTTAATGCTCTACTAAGTGCCTAATGATATGTGAACTTTCTGGTTATTACAGAGTTAGCCTTCACAAATCTTGCTGCTCAAATATGGTTGAATAATAGAGTTATATAATAGAATAAAAAATCGAAATAAATTTTTTATTGTGTAATTTCTTACGGTTGTTTGAAATTAGAAAAAGGAAAACTAACTTATATATAATTTTAAAATCATGGTGATTGCTTAAAGTGGCCCACCCTCCCTGTGATTCATCTTTGATTAGATTTTTTTATCTATGGGTTGGGAGGGAATTGAAGATAAATGGGGTTGAAGTGAAATACACCATAAATCCATGGTTAATGACCTTTGCCATCTTACCATTTAATTCTTATTTTATTTAACCCACCTATACTCTAATTATTTGAAATATCTTAAATGAATAATGATAAAAGGGGATTTGCCCGAGTAACCTTAAAATGTGAACTATCTTAATATAATTTTATTTAACCCTAGTAAACTCTTTTATAAGTATCTCATCACAATCAATCCTTTACTAGAAATCAACCTGATCAATATATCAGCTATAAGCTGATCTTAGAAATTGCAAAATTGTGAGGACTGAGGACCAATATGCTCTCTTATCGGAAACTTTACCACACCATCTATGCGACTCATAAGAGGTCAAATGTTTGAATAGTCACACTTGGATGACTCTCTGTTCAGATATATATCATCTTGCCTGTTTGTTCTGTTAGTATCTCTACATTTCATGTCAAGTTTTTTAGTGTTTCATATATTGATTTACAGGGTAAAACTCCTTTTGTTGCTGAGTTGTTTTTATTAGGTTCAGAAACTTCTTGATTAATACAATAAATGAGATCTTGCTCGCAAATGTCTAAGCTGTTTTGGTGGTTTGCAGGTCTGGTGTAAGGCATACTAATGTTTTATTAAGGGGTGCAGTTTTCCGAACTTTCAGTATCAACTTTTTCACATATGGTTTCCCGGTACATATCATTAACCACTCATTGTTGTCTGTTTTTGGATATAAAATCTTCACTGATTTAAAATGTCCAATGATTAGAGCGTGAGTCACTGGTTCGATGCCACACCACCACCGATTGGCCCACAGCAAATAAGAAAACTTTTAGTTGAAAGAAACTTTTACATGGTGGTAAAAAATATATTTGCTTATTTATTATAAGTTAGTGGCTTGCCGGAGTTAGATTCAATTTTTTTCTTCAATTTTTAAGCAAGTGGTAGGATTAGGGAGGTTCGTAATTTGCAGACTTACTGCACATAAGCTTTAATTATGGCTCATGGTTGTCATCTGAGTTATGTTATTGGATTTGTATATGGAGTCTTCAGTAGGTCTAGAATAGTTTTAGCAATCGAAGTGCTGACTGTTTCTGCATAATATTGTCTTCGATTTGGTAGAAATGGGAGAATTTCAACAGACTACAAATATATTTGTATACAACAATGTAGTTAATTTTGAGGATCTGACAGAGAAGCAAGTTATGTGTCATCCGCTTTGACATGCTGATTTTATGATAATATGATTTCCAACTTTTTTTAAATGCAACATTTAGTTGTCTTTTTTTTTTCTTTTAGGGTATGAAAGCTACATAAGGAAGGCACGTTATGTGGCTAATATATATATATATATATATATATATATGGATGTGGCTGTCACATTCATATTTATATATCCTATGGAGTGTTTTATGGAAGATCTACTTTATCCTTGAAACTTTCAAGAGCTAAGTCTTAACAACGGTCATTCTATTAAGTTTCCATGTTAAACTTTAAATATGAATGTGACAGGTCTCCCTGGTTGCTCTTTCATTTTGGAGTTTCACTTTTGCAAGTGTATGTGCATTCGGATTACTCATATATGTCGGCTACATTTTATATGCTTTCCCATCCTTGTTCCGTTTGCACCGGTTAAATGGGCTGCTTCTTGTCTTCATTCTCTTGTGGGCCGTCAGTACATATGTCTTCAATGTGGCATATGCATTCCTAAACTGGAAAGGGAAGGTAGCCCTCTACTTGCGCTAGAAGTCTGTCAAATTTCATTTCACAAATCTCGGGACGGTTAACAAGTTTCTATCTTTTTGAATACTTCCAGGACATGGATATCTGGGAGATGGTTGGGCTGTGGCATTATCCTATTCCTGGATTTTTTCTACTTGCGCAATTTTGTCTTGGAATTCTGGTTGCTCTTGGAAATCTCGTAAACAATTCTGTATTCCAATACTTGTCTGATGAGGACAGGCTCTCCTCGGATGAAAACTATTCAGAAGAAGGTAATTCAATGTTATAAGTCAGTACTGATCTATACATAGTCTTTCTTATTGGTCGAATGGAAGAATACTTAGCCCCCTTGATTCCCATTTGCATGTTTTAGAAGTGGCATAGTAGACTGGCCCAGGTCTGGGGTGATTGAAAACAGGTTGGCTTAAATGGGTGCTAACATTAACCAACCTGTTTATAGGAGNAATGGAAGAATACTTAGCCCCCTTGATTCCCATTTGCATGTTTTAGAAGTGGCATAGCAGACTGGCCCAGGTCTGGGGTGATTGAAAACAGGTTGGCTTAAATGGGTGCTAACATTAACCAACCTGTTTATAGGACAGGCCAGAAGGGTTGGTTGGTAAATGCATTGTTTGAAGTCGCCAATACAAAACTGGCTCGCATATATTAAATCTCTCTGAAGTTGACTTACAAGTGGCCCAATTTTATTGAGGGCTTAGTAATAGCTAGAATACATACAAAGTAATATCGAGCAAAAGCACATAACAGAAGCTTTGTGTCATTTAAGTTTTCTGCACCGACCAAACAAACCCATGGGGGCTTAAACTCCAAATGAAGGCGGGTGTCACACCCCAGTTCTCCGAGGCATGAGGCATGTAACTTACAATGTCCCACATCACACGGGCATGTTATGTGATAACATAAGTGCCATGTGCTGCAGTTGAACCCCATAACCCACAAATTCAACAGTGCTACTTGCAAACATACTTGGATACGGGGCAATTAACTAGCAGTCATTGCACATTATATAGACCAGTTGTCAAACCCCTAACTTATTACAATACAATGGTTCAACTTATTGATTCAAGTTCATTATAAACAAAAGCATGTTGTTCCCGACTATACATTTATTCCCCCTTGCTGCCGTCCAAGTCTGAAAAAGAAATAAGTAACGTAGGGTGAGCGACAGAGTGTCAACCAACTTAGTAGGTAAACTTAATTCGAGACAAACAAGTTTGAAAACAAATACTTTGTTTTGATCGGGACTACAAAAATAGGTTAGTACATACATAACGAATAAGCAAAACATTTAAATGTAGATAGTAAAGCGCAAAAAAGAAAAGTAGTTTGTACAGCATCACACCAAAGAGTGAAATCCTAACGACCACTTAGGTCAATACAAACCATACAATCCAACCTTTTAGGGGTACTTGTACCCCAAGGAAGATACAATCCCTCAATCCAGTTTGGTACCCAAGTCCAAAAACCAACCGGGTCACCATGGCATTCACGAACTCAATGAAACTCTGTACAGCTTAATTATGTGTGCACTTACATTTCACAAATTGGACCCTGGATCTCCACAGTAATCGAACAGTTCAACCAAACACACAGCTCATTTTTAAAAACCATATCCGGATATGAGTTTCACAAAAATACGATAACCCAATCACAATTTGATAAACACTTTGAACAATAATCATAAAATGCTTGAAATATTTAAGAAGTTCAAGAAAAAGTCAAGCTTGTTCCTTAATTGAGAAAATTTACCCTGTCCATTGTTCGGCTCGTTTGACTATCAAACATTGAATACTGAAATTTTTTAATAAGAACTTAAACATAACGTTAAATTAACTAACTAAACATAGTAATAGGGTTAGTTTGGTAAAAAACTGCATAGGTAGGTCAAACCAGGATCTGCAGGGGTAAAGTAGTCATTTTATGTGGTTTTCCCCCCGTAGTGTTGGATTGCAAAGTGGTGGGCATTTTTGGAATCCCCGTGAAACAAGGAATCCAACACCACCAACCACACCCCCAGCAGCCACCCCATGCATACTCGTGCTGTCGGGGTGGGCTGCGGGGTGGGCTGCCCTTAGTTCCCCTTCTTCTTCCTCCTCCTCCTCCACCTTTACCAAACCTTATTTTTTCAGATTTTTGGCCTACTTTGTCCACCCTTTCTCCCTCGTAGCTTCATCTTTTTAGTGATTCAAAAGCCTAAACTACGCTACTACATCCTGATTTTAAAACCCTAGTATTGGTTTGCATCAAAACCCCCTCAATTATTCCCAAAACTGAGTCAAAGTTGGGTTGAAGGCCATAAAGACAGGTTTGACCAACCTGATTTTCAGCTTCTGAGCCAACTTTGGCCCTTGATTTCTCCTTCGTTTCTCAACCTTTTTAGGTGATTCAAATGCCTAAATTCAACCTTTTTTCTACCATCTTTCCCACCATGTAATTGGTTTGTAAGGATCATGCAAAGGTTAGGAGGAAATTGAGCCCAAAAGTGACGGTTTCATCATTTTAAAACTCTGTCCAGACCTGCAACTCATTTTTGACCCACCAAACTTCATTTTTTTCCTCAAATCTAACTTCAAAAATAGATTTCTTGACCCCAAAAACAGCAGATATGACCCTCTTTCAAGCTCAAAACCAAGATTTTACAAAACCCATTAAATCAAGCTTAAATAACAACCTAGGGTTTACAAGTTCTCACCACACACACCAAGGAAGGCCACCTCTGAAACTTAACACACACACACTCTCTATGAGCTACTAGGAAGCTTACCCTTGAAAGGTTTGAAGGATGGTTGCTTGTACATAGAGATCCAAAATTGAGCTTCAAACTTCCTCTCACTTTCTCTCTCCTCTCTCCATTTCTCTCTCTTCCCTCTGATTTTTCTTGCAAATCTGATACATATGAAGCACCTCCACCTATTTAAGCCTCCCAAGCACCTTAGTCATCCCTTGCATGGCTAAATTTGCCAAGGGACATTTGCACTTTGNACAGGCCAGAAGGGTTGGTTGGTAAATGCATTGTTTGAAGTCGCCAATACAAAACTGGCTCGCATATATTAAATCTCTCTGAAGTTGACTTACAAGTGGCCCAATTTTATTGAGGGCTTAGTAATAGCTAGAATACATACAAAGTAATATCGAGCAAAAGCACATAACAGAAGCTTTGTGTCATTTAAGTTTTCTGCACCGACCAAACAAACCCATGGGGGCTTAAACTCCAAATGAAGGCGGGTGTCACACCCCAGTTCTCCGAGGCATGAGGCATGTAACTTACAATGTCCCACATCACACGGGCATGTTATGTGATAACATAAGTGCCATGTGCTGCAGTTGAACCCCATAACCCACAAATTCAACAGTGCTACTTGCAAACATACTTGGATACGGGGCAATTAACTAGCAGTCATTGCACATTATATAGACCAGTTGTCAAACCCCTAACTTATTACAATACAATGGTTCAACTTATTGATTCAAGTTCATTATAAACAAAAGCATGTTGTTCCCGACTATACATTTATTCCCCCTTGCTGCCGTCCAAGTCTGAAAAAGAAATAAGTAACGTAGGGTGAGCGACAGAGTGTCAACCAACTTAGTAGGTAAACTTAATTCGAGACAAACAAGTTTGAAAACAAATACTTTGTTTTGATCGGGACTACAAAAATAGGTTAGTACATACATAACGAATAAGCAAAACATTTAAATGTAGATAGTAAAGCGCAAAAAAGAAAAGTAGTTTGTACAGCATCACACCAAAGAGTGAAATCCTAACGACCACTTAGGTCAATACAAACCATACAATCCAACCTTTTAGGGGTACTTGTACCCCAAGGAAGATACAATCCCTCAATCCAGTTTGGTACCCAAGTCCAAAAACCAACCGGGTCACCATGGCATTCACGAACTCAATGAAACTCTGTACAGCTTAATTATGTGTGCACTTACATTTCACAAATTGGACCCTGGATCTCCACAGTAATCGAACAGTTCAACCAAACACACAGCTCATTTTTAAAAACCATATCCGGATATGAGTTTCACAAAAATACGATAACCCAATCACAATTTGATAAACACTTTGAACAATAATCATAAAATGCTTGAAATATTTAAGAAGTTCAAGAAAAAGTCAAGCTTGTTCCTTAATTGAGAAAATTTACCCTGTCCATTGTTCGGCTCGTTTGACTATCAAACATTGAATACTGAAATTTTTTAATAAGAACTTAAACATAACGTTAAATTAACTAACTAAACATAGTAATAGGGTTAGTTTGGTAAAAAACTGCATAGGTAGGTCAAACCAGGATCTGCAGGGGTAAAGTAGTCATTTTATGTGGTTTTCCCCCCGTAGTGTTGGATTGCAAAGTGGTGGGCATTTTTGGAATCCCCGTGAAACAAGGAATCCAACACCACCAACCACACCCCCAGCAGCCACCCCATGCATACTCGTGCTGTCGGGGTGGGCTGCGGGGTGGGCTGCCCTTAGTTCCCCTTCTTCTTCCTCCTCCTCCTCCACCTTTACCAAACCTTATTTTTTCAGATTTTTGGCCTACTTTGTCCACCCTTTCTCCCTCGTAGCTTCATCTTTTTAGTGATTCAAAAGCCTAAACTACGCTACTACATCCTGATTTTAAAACCCTAGTATTGGTTTGCATCAAAACCCCCTCAATTATTCCCAAAACTGAGTCAAAGTTGGGTTGAAGGCCATAAAGACAGGTTTGACCAACCTGATTTTCAGCTTCTGAGCCAACTTTGGCCCTTGATTTCTCCTTCGTTTCTCAACCTTTTTAGGTGATTCAAATGCCTAAATTCAACCTTTTTTCTACCATCTTTCCCACCATGTAATTGGTTTGTAAGGATCATGCAAAGGTTAGGAGGAAATTGAGCCCAAAAGTGACGGTTTCATCATTTTAAAACTCTGTCCAGACCTGCAACTCATTTTTGACCCACCAAACTTCATTTTTTTCCTCAAATCTAACTTCAAAAATAGATTTCTTGACCCCAAAAACAGCAGATATGACCCTCTTTCAAGCTCAAAACCAAGATTTTACAAAACCCATTAAATCAAGCTTAAATAACAACCTAGGGTTTACAAGTTCTCACCACACACACCAAGGAAGGCCACCTCTGAAACTTAACACACACACACTCTCTATGAGCTACTAGGAAGCTTACCCTTGAAAGGTTTGAAGGATGGTTGCTTGTACATAGAGATCCAAAATTGAGCTTCAAACTTCCTCTCACTTTCTCTCTCCTCTCTCCATTTCTCTCTCTTCCCTCTGATTTTTCTTGCAAATCTGATACATATGAAGCACCTCCACCTATTTAAGCCTCCCAAGCACCTTAGTCATCCCTTGCATGGCTAAATTTGCCAAGGGACATTTGCACTTTGTTAGATGGAAGATAACCATCAAAGACATTTTCATAATTTCTGAGTTTTTTTTTTTTAACTTCAAATATGAGATTATTACATAATATAACTTCCTAAATCCGAGAATCCCCTTTTTTCTCAAAAATTAAATCCGACAAATTTGTTGGCCTGTTTTATCCCTTGCGCATATTCGTGTGATTTCAACTCCACCACTTGAGACCTTTCCAAACTCTTCACTTGACATAAATCCACCCTTGCTATCTTGAATCTCTTTCATTCTCCCCAAAATTCAATCCGATAATGTCATTGGACGATTTTTGCCTTAGCACAGAACCGTGCAATGTCAAACCAAGTGTGTTGCCCCAGCTTATCCAACCCATCCTAGTTCACACTCAAACCCTTATTGCATATTACACAAGCTCGGGTGTTACAACAGGTTCCTTTGGTTATATTTGCTGGGAGACCCACTGGTTACTGTGTCCAACCTGCTAAGAGTTGAGTGTTTTGTTTTTGACCCAATTCCAACCCGCACCTGCAAATAACTTATCTGAGCTCATAAATCTGCTGATAGTTTTGGGTGGATCCATGTATCTCAATGAGCTTTGCCACTCCTAGCGTGTTGCAAACCTTACGCCCCTATTAGTTGAGGTGCTCAAAGCCCACGGGATCAACTAATTCTTCATTTAATAATACTTTTATTAGGAGCTGTGATTGTAGATGCACATAATCACTGGCGTGGACCATTTTCGTTAAGTAAGCCCCGGGTGAACAGAATGTAAGACATCTGCTTATTGGCCCATGCCTTGGCCAACTCAGCTACCTTAGTGTGTTAGCTACAGTAACTATACTACTGGTTGTAGTTGGCCTCATGCTTAATTTANCGGATATGAGTTTCACAAAAATACGATAACCCAATCACAATTTGATAAACACTTTGAACAATAATCATAAAATGCTTGAAATATTTAAGAAGTTCAAGAAAAAGTCAAGCTTGTTCCTTAATTGAGAAAATTTACCCTGTCCATTGTTCGGCTCGTTTGACTATCAAACATTGAATACTGAAATTTTTTAATAAGAACTTAAACATAACGTTAAATTAACTAACTAAACATAGTAATAGGGTTAGTTTGGTAAAAAACTGCATAGGTAGGTCAAACCAGGATCTGCAGGGGTAAAGTAGTCATTTTATGTGGTTTTCCCCCCGTAGTGTTGGATTGCAAAGTGGTGGGCATTTTTGGAATCCCCGTGAAACAAGGAATCCAACACCACCAACCACACCCCCAGCAGCCACCCCATGCATACTCGTGCTGTCGGGGTGGGCTGCGGGGTGGGCTGCCCTTAGTTCCCCTTCTTCTTCCTCCTCCTCCTCCACCTTTACCAAACCTTATTTTTTCAGATTTTTGGCCTACTTTGTCCACCCTTTCTCCCTCGTAGCTTCATCTTTTTAGTGATTCAAAAGCCTAAACTACGCTACTACATCCTGATTTTAAAACCCTAGTATTGGTTTGCATCAAAACCCCCTCAATTATTCCCAAAACTGAGTCAAAGTTGGGTTGAAGGCCATAAAGACAGGTTTGACCAACCTGATTTTCAGCTTCTGAGCCAACTTTGGCCCTTGATTTCTCCTTCGTTTCTCAACCTTTTTAGGTGATTCAAATGCCTAAATTCAACCTTTTTTCTACCATCTTTCCCACCATGTAATTGGTTTGTAAGGATCATGCAAAGGTTAGGAGGAAATTGAGCCCAAAAGTGACGGTTTCATCATTTTAAAACTCTGTCCAGACCTGCAACTCATTTTTGACCCACCAAACTTCATTTTTTTCCTCAAATCTAACTTCAAAAATAGATTTCTTGACCCCAAAAACAGCAGATATGACCCTCTTTCAAGCTCAAAACCAAGATTTTACAAAACCCATTAAATCAAGCTTAAATAACAACCTAGGGTTTACAAGTTCTCACCACACACACCAAGGAAGGCCACCTCTGAAACTTAACACACACACACTCTCTATGAGCTACTAGGAAGCTTACCCTTGAAAGGTTTGAAGGATGGTTGCTTGTACATAGAGATCCAAAATTGAGCTTCAAACTTCCTCTCACTTTCTCTCTCCTCTCTCCATTTCTCTCTCTTCCCTCTGATTTTTCTTGCAAATCTGATACATATGAAGCACCTCCACCTATTTAAGCCTCCCAAGCACCTTAGTCATCCCTTGCATGGCTAAATTTGCCAAGGGACATTTGCACTTTGTTAGATGGAAGATAACCATCAAAGACATTTTCATAATTTCTGAGTTTTTTTTTTTTAACTTCAAATATGAGATTATTACATAATATAACTTCCTAAATCCGAGAATCCCCTTTTTTCTCAAAAATTAAATCCGACAAATTTGTTGGCCTGTTTTATCCCTTGCGCATATTCGTGTGATTTCAACTCCACCACTTGAGACCTTTCCAAACTCTTCACTTGACATAAATCCACCCTTGCTATCTTGAATCTCTTTCATTCTCCCCAAAATTCAATCCGATAATGTCATTGGACGATTTTTGCCTTAGCACAGAACCGTGCAATGTCAAACCAAGTGTGTTGCCCCAGCTTATCCAACCCATCCTAGTTCACACTCAAACCCTTATTGCATATTACACAAGCTCGGGTGTTACAACAGGTTCCTTTGGTTATATTTGCTGGGAGACCCACTGGTTACTGTGTCCAACCTGCTAAGAGTTGAGTGTTTTGTTTTTGACCCAATTCCAACCCGCACCTGCAAATAACTTATCTGAGCTCATAAATCTGCTGATAGTTTTGGGTGGATCCATGTATCTCAATGAGCTTTGCCACTCCTAGCGTGTTGCAAACCTTACGCCCCTATTAGTTGAGGTGCTCAAAGCCCACGGGATCAACTAATTCTTCATTTAATAATACTTTTATTAGGAGCTGTGATTGTAGATGCACATAATCACTGGCGTGGACCATTTTCGTTAAGTAAGCCCCGGGTGAACAGAATGTAAGACATCTGCTTATTGGCCCATGCCTTGGCCAACTCAGCTACCTTAGTGTGTTAGCTACAGTAACTATACTACTGGTTGTAGTTGGCCTCATGCTTAATTTACATCTATGAATCACGGATATTTCAAAAAAGGTCAAAGTATTGGTATTGGATACTTCCNTACATCTATGAATCACGGATATTTCAAAAAAGGTCAAAGTATTGGTATTGGATACTTTCCGGATACGGATACGGATACGTGTTTGATATGGCCGGATATGTATCCAATACGGCTTGGAAAGTATCCTGGATTAAAAAAAATAAATTTGAATTCGGATACTTCAGTTCAGGATACGTCGGGGTATTACTTCAATTTTTTAAAAAGAATAAGGGCACCAAAGTAAATATGTTTGGCCTTATTTGCCAAAAAAATAAAACAAAATTTATTAATGTATNACGTTAAATTAACTAACTAAACATAGTAATAGGGTTAGTTTGGTAAAAAACTGCATAGGTAGGTCAAACCAGGATCTGCAGGGGTAAAGTAGTCATTTTATGTGGTTTTCCCCCCGGAGTGTTGGATTGCAAAGTGGTGGGCATTTTTGGAATCCCCGTGAAACAAGGAATCCAACACCACCAACCACACCCCCAGCAGCCACCCCACGCATACTCGTGCTGTCGGGGTGGGCTGCCCTTAGTTCCCCTTCTTCTTCCTTNTATTTGCCAAAAAAATAAAACAAAATTTATTAATGTATGATTTCTGAATGATAGAATGGTTAGTTATTATTATATATCTTTGATAGATGTGTGATTCACTTTATAAATTATAATGATTATATTAAATATAATAATAAAATTTTTAAAGAATATATTTTATGGATGTATCCTAGCCGTACTCGTATCCTATTTTTTTAGGTTTTGCCGTATCGTATCCGTATCCGTGCTTTATAGATTTGCATATTTGCGTTCCCTTTGCTTTGATGCTTCATTTCCTCCTTAAGTCTTCCACCAATCATTTGGGGCAGGCCACATTGATTTTGTTTCCATTCTCAGTCTTTAGGCCCATATTCAATCTGATTAATAGAAAAGGTAACAATATTAGAGCAAGTAGTTGTCTGGCCATACTCATTTCCTAAAGCAGGCAATTCACATGGTTGGATCATATTATTTTCCTGCCATCCATTACAATGGAACAAGATAACTGGAATGTTCTTTTTTTTTTTTTTTTGTATGTTAGAACTTTTGTATAAAAAATTGATTTGGCTACCTTTTGCTTTATCAATTTGAAGCTGTACTTCCAGCCATGTGATGGCCTTGCCTTATCATTCAATTGCAGTGAAGGAAGAGACCAAGGTCTTGATTGTGGCTACGATTGCTTGGGGACTGCATAAAAGCTCACGGGCAATTATGCTGGTGCTGATATTCCTTGTTGCAATGAAACCCGGTCTCATCCACGCTGTTTATAGTATGTTAAGTTAGCCGCTACTATTCGTCTATTTAGTCTTGGCCAGATCGGCACATTCTGAATAGTTGATTGTTAATATGAAGAAACTGAATGGCATGATTCTCATGTAACATGATTGTGCATCAATTTCCTAATCACTGCTATATTTTGACCTGTGCTTCAGTGATATATTTTTTCAGCTATCTTTTGAGCCACAGCATCAGCAAAAGGATACGCCAGTCTCTGATTCTTCTATGTGAAGCTCATTTCGCGGTGTTGTACATTCTTCAGCTTAATTTAGTCTCTAAAACTTTAGAGCAAAAGGGCTCTTTGAGTATGGAAATTTTATCTCTGTTAGGTATGGCTGTGATTAATTGCTTCACTCGAAATTGTTCTCTATAGGAAGACACATCATAGTTTTATATCCGCCTTCTAACATTCTCTTCTCTGAATTTTGGTTTCATCTTTTATTCATGAAAACTTTGTTTTGATTTCCTGTAGGTTTTCTTGACTGTGATAATTCTTGGGATCTTGTGGAAATAGCTGTTCTGGCATGCTTCTGTGCCATTCATAATCATGGTTTTGAAATGTTATTTTCATTATCAGCAATTGTGCAGCACACACCTTGTCCTCCAGTTGGATTTAGCATATTGAACGCTGGTTTGAACAAATCAGTTCTGTTGTCAGTTTATGCCTCCCCTACCACAAGAGACAACCATGATGATCCTTCTCACGGTATAGCTTTACCCTAGGATAACAGCATTTCCTACTGTTATTTTTTGTTTAATGACCTGGGGGAAAAGTAGACCACAAGCGTCATTATTCTTATTTTCATCATACATGTGCTCTGTCCTGGTACTCGTTGNAGGATAACAGCATTTCCTACTGTTATTTTTTGTTTAATGACCTGGGGGAAAAGTAGATCACAAGCGTCATTATTCTTATTTTCATCATACATGTGCTCTGTCCTGGTACTCGTTGAATTTTCGGTTTAGGTATTGTAAATCTGTTACAGGTTGTCTGGGAAATATGAGTCTCCTGCAGACTAGGAGCAGGCTGACCATTAATCGAGTCCCTATAGGCATTTGAAGAAGTTATGTAGTGGTAGTTGTTGCAGTGTTTTTTTTTGGGCATATACTCTATTGTTGTTATTGTTGTTCTTCTTATGATTGTCATTATTGTGATTGTTATTATTTTTGGGATTATAATTAGTGACCCCTCATTTNTCCTGCAGACTAGGAGCAGGCTGACCATTAATCGAGTCCCTATAGGCATTTGAAGAAATTATGTAGTGGTAGTTGTTGCAGTGTTTTTTTTTGGGCATATACTCTATTGTTGTTACTATTGTTCTTCTTATGATTGTCATTATTGTGATTGTTATTATTTTTGGGATTATAATTAGTGACCCCTCATTTTTGTTTGATTTTCTTCCAGAGAGAAATATAGCTTCATACCTCAGTGCAATAGGGCAGAAATTTTTATCCATCTATCGATCATTTGGAACCTACATAGCCTTTTTGACGATTCTCGTCACGGTGTACTTGGTCCGGCCTAATTATTTATCATTTGGGTTCATTTTCCTTCTGCTTGTTTGGATCATTGGGAGACAGCTTGTTGAGAAAACAAAACGACGCCTCTGGTATCCGTTAAAAGCATACACAATTGTGGTGTTCATATTCATCTATAGTTTGAGCATTTTTCCCAGTTTTGAGGCATGGATGTCCAGAAAGTTAGATCTTTATCCAAACTTTGGCTATAACCCAGAAGACTCATTGTTGGAAAATGCTTGGGAGTCTCTAGCAATCATGACCGTGATGCAACTATATAGTTATGAGAGGAGACAAAGCAAGTATGTCATATCAGAAGATCCTGATCAACTGCAATTTGGAGTACTTGGGTTTATCAAACGACTTCTAATTTGGCACAGCCAAAAGATTTTGTTTATTGCTCTTTTCTATGCATCATTGTCTCCAATAAGTGCATTTGGGTTTTTATATCTTCTCGGGCTTGTCCTCTGTTCAACTTTACCTAAGGCTTCTCGGATCCCATCCAAATCATTCTTAGTTTACACAGGACTTTTAGTCATAACTGAATATCTTTTTCAGATGTTGGGTGAACAGGCTGCGATGTTTCCTGGCCAAAAACACTATGATTTGTCCGTTTTGCTGGGTTTCCGGGTTTATAAGCCTAGCTTTTGGGGTCTAGAATCTGGCTTGAGGGGGAAAGTTCTGGTGATTGCTGCATGTACCCTTCAGTACAATGTCTTCCGTTGGTTGGAGAAGATGCCTAGTTCTCTTTCAGATGTAGGTAGATCTGAAGAACCTTGCCCATTGTTTATCTCGACAAAAGATGTATTACCTGTTGTCTCCGTTTCCAATGGAGAGAACATGGTGTTGGCAGATTCTAGTGAACTTCCTACAAAAATAATGGGGGTGACAAGCAATTCATGGCCATCTTTCAACCCTGGTATGTACCAGTCATCTCAAGTTGTGCCCTCCAAAACAGGAGGCTCTGAGCAAAGCAGCATTAGAAGATACTCGTTTGGGTCTATCTGGGGAAGCGTGAAGGAGAGTCATAAGTGGGACAAGAAGCGAATTCTGGCCTTAAGAAAGGAGAGACTTGAATTACAAAAGACCACCTTAAAAATATATTTGATGTTCTGGATGGAGAACATGTTCAACCTCTTTGGCGTTCAGATCNTGGCCTTAAGAAAGGAGAGACTTGAATTACAAAAGACCACCTTAAAAATATATTTGAGGTTCTGGATGGAGAACATGTTCAACCTCTTTGGCCTTCAGATTNGGCCTTAAGAAAGGAGAGACTTGAATTACAAAAGACCACCTTAAAAATATATTTGATGTTCTGGATGGAGAACATGTTCAACCTCTTTGGCGTTCAGATTGTTATGATTGCTTTGCTTCTTGCCAGTTTTGTTCTTCTGAATGCAGTTTCTATGTTGTATATTGCATCACTTGCTGCTTGTGTTCTTTTAAACCGGAATACTTTACGGAAATTGTGGCCAATATTTGTCTTTTCCTTTGCATCCATTCTCGTTCTTGAATACTTTGCCATGTGGAAGAACGCGATCCCTTTAAGTCCGCATGTCCCAAGTGGCACTAATGTGCATTGCCATGATTGCTGGAGAAACTCAAATACATATTTCAATTACTGCAGAAATTGTTGGCTGGGTACTACTCTCTTACTAATATTAGGAATACGACTCAGTAGGCTCTACCTAGACTTTTTCTTTCTATTTTTTCTCATATTTTTTCCTTTGTCCTAATTTTTTTNTATTTCAATTACTGCAGAAATTGTTGGCTGGGTACTACTCTCTTACTAATATTAGGATTACGACTCAGTAGGCTCTACCTAGACTTTTTCTTTCTATTTTTTCTCATATTTTTTCCTTTGTCCTAATTTTTTTAATTTTTTCCCTCCTTAGAAGTTCCAACTTTCTGAGGACATAAGCATTTATGCATTCACCACTTACTACTGAAGTTTAACCTTGATATGTTAGTCATCCAAAACTTGAAAATCCACGGTGTTGGCTGGTTTCTAAATTTTGTGAAAATACTCCAAAAAGGATCATATAGGACATTTAGAACTTACTTTTACTTATTTATGCTGTGCATTAGTTCTCAGAAGGCTTATGCACAGTTCAGGACCTCTGTTGCTCGAGCATTTCAATTTGGATTCTTAAATTGACCTGTGTACTTCCTTGTCGCTGAAGTGTCTAAGGAGAAAATTATAGGTCTTCTGGAAACATTGTTAATCAACTCCTGAGTTGATCATTTCCTTTCAAATCAGATATTCTATTGATTGCCCAAAGCTTATACAGTGCCTTTTTTTGTTTCTTTGTTAGGACTTACTGTTGATGATCCTCGAATGCTGATCAGCTATTATATGGTCTTTATGTTTGCTTGTTTCAAACTTCGTGCGGATCGGTTTTCCAGTTTTTCAGGGTCATTTGCGTATCACCAAATGATGTCTCAGCGTAAGAATGCATTTGTTTGGCGAGACCTTTCTTTTGAAACCAAAAGCATGTGGACTTTTCTCGACTACCTGAGACTTTATTGCTGTTGTCATCTATTGGATCTTGTGCTTGCTTTAATTTTAATTACGGGAACCCTTGAGTACGACATTCTGCACCTTGGATATCTTGGTTTTGCTCTCGTTTTCTTTCGAATGAGGCTCACAATACTGAAGAAAAAGAATAAGATCTTCAAGTTTCTGCGGATATACAACTTTGCCCTTATCGTTCTCTCTCTTGCCTATCAGTCTCCCTTCGTGGGTGATTTTAATACAGGGAGATGTGAAACAATAGATTATTTATATGAGCTGATTGGATTCTGTAAATATGACTATGGGTTTCGGATAACCTCAAGATCGGCTTTGGTTGAGATCATAATTTTTGTCCTGGTATCACTGCAGTCATACATGCTTTCCTCCAAGGAGTTTGATTATGTGTTTCGATATCTTGAGGCGGAGCAAATTGGTGCAATTGTACGTGAACAAGAGAAGAAAGCTGCATGGAAGACTGCACAGTTACAGCATATTCGTAATTCTGAAGAAAAGAAACGCCAGCGTAACTTGCAAGTGGAGAAGATGAAATCTGAGATGCTCAACTTACAAATCCAGCTTCACAGTATGAACCCTACTGCTGCTTGTAGTGATACTTCTCCTAGGAGTGAAGGCTTAAGAAGGAGGAGGAATGCTTCTCTTAATTTGAATAGGGACACTGATTACCTTGATAAAGAGGACGGTATACTAGGGAAGCAAGAGATAAATATACATGCAGACACAGGTATCCCTTTTGAATTGCATGAATCTCCCACTAGTGTAAGAACTGAAAGTCCCTTAGCAGCGGAGTTCACAAAGCATTCAATGGAAGATTCTGTTTGTGAGATCACTGAACTTGAGGTAGATGCTGCAGAGGGTGCATGTACTGATTCAGACAAAGAAAGGAAAGGAAGAGTCCAAGCTAAGGAAAACCCATTAATTTCTGCTGTACAGTTGATAGGCGATGGTGTTTCCCAAGTACAGTTCATTGGAAATCAGGCAGTTACCAACATAGTGAACTTCTTGAACATTCCACATGAAGATTCTGATTCAAATGACCCCTTATTGGCAGAGGATGCAAAATTCAATGAGAGAGAGAACCAGAAAATGAACTATACAGAGTTGGACCGTTCATCTTCTTTGCAGTCTGACAAGAGTAGAATGTCTGATGCTGCACATCTGCAGATTGGAAGGATCTTCCATCATATATGGTCCCAGATGCGCTCCAATAATGATGTTGTGTGTTATTTTTGCTTGCTTCTTGTCTTTCTTTGGAGCTTCAGTTTGCTTTCCATGGTGTATCTAGCTGCTCTCTTCTTGTATGCTCTGTGTGTGAATACTGGGCCAAGTTACATCTTTTGGGTTATCATGCTAATCTATACCGAAATTTATATTTTGCTTCAATATCTGTTCCAAATTATCATCCAACATTGTGGTTTGAGCATCGAGTGGAGCCTACTTCCAGAGTTAGGGTTCCCTACAAAAAAAATCACATCGTCATTCGTCATCAGTTTATTGCCTCTGTTTTTGGTCTACTTATTTACCCTCATACAGAGTTCTATAACAGTAAAAGATAGTGAATGGATTTCCTCACGGGGTTTTAATAATCGAAATGGGAGAGCAGTCCACCAAGAGGCAGGTCTGGTCGGTTCTAGCTTGAGTGAGAAGGCCAAGAAGCTGTTCCAACCAGTGACACACATAATGAAAATGTTAATCAAAAGCTGCTCTAGGTACTGGAAGTCACTGACACAGGAAGCAGAATCTCCTCCGTACCTTGTCCAGTTGTCTATGGATGTCCACTTGTGGCCCGAGGATGGGATCCAACCAGAGAGGATTGAATCTGGAATAAACCGACTGCTCCGGATTGTGCATGATGAGAGATGCCAGGAAGAAAACCCTAATGGTTGCCCTTGTGCAAGTAGAGTTCACATTCAAAGCATTGAAAAAAGTACAGATGACCAAAATGTAGCCTTGGCTATGTTTGAGGTGGTTTATGCTTGCCCATTGACGGAATGCACACCCACAGAACGGTTCAAGTCATTAACTCCAGCAGCTGATGTAGCAAAGGAGATTCTCAAGGCACAACGTACTGGTCTTGTTGAAGTTGGATTCCCATATCCTATACTCTCAGTGATTGGGGGAGGCAAAAGAGAACTTGATCTCTATGCTTACATATTTGGTGCAGATTTGTCTGTTTTCTTTCTGGTTGCTATTTTCTACCAGTCCGTCATTAAGAACAAAAGTGAATTTCTAGAGGTTTATCAGGTTGAAGATCAATTTCCAAAAGAGTTCGTATTTATATTAATGGTATGCTTCTGTTCCTTCGTGTTTAAATTCATTATTTCATACCTTGTTCTCCTTGAAACTAAATTCAACATCAGGATCTATTGTGAAACATAAATGTTTTAGTCAAATTTTGACTATATTCTCGTCAATGAAACACCCAGCACTGGACAAGTCCTGAAAGATAACATACTTTGCCTACTATGTAGTTTGGCTATAAATAGCTAAGTCACACAGTGGTGCAATTAGTGTAATTGTTTGTTCCTTGCTACTTTGTGTGCCTTATTATGGCAATCATGTGCTGTCTAATTCCCTGACTTGCTTACATGCTCTCGCCATGCAGATTATCTTCTTCTTAATTGTGGTTGATCGCATTATATACCTCTGTTCATTCGCCACAGGAAAAGTGATCTTCTACCTTTTCAACCTTATCCTCTTTACATATAGTGTCACAGAGTCTGCCTGGCATTTGGATTCTTCACAACAAAATGCTGCAGGATTAGCTCTTCGTGCTATATATCTTACAAAAGCAATTTCTCTGGCACTGCAAGCTATACAAATCCGATATGGGGTCGCTCATAAGAGCACTTTGTATCGCCAGTTTCTGACCAGCAAAGTTTCTCGAGTAAATTATTTAGGCTACCGACTCTATCGTGCTCTTCCATTCCTTTATGAATTACGTTGTGTACTTGATTGGTCATGCACAACTACATCTTTGACGATGTATGATTGGCTGAAGGTGAGTTCTTTCAGTTTTCACTTGTTTCTGCTTCACTCAAATTATAGTACTACAAAAACATTTTTATTAGGATAAATTTTAATGGCAGGGGAATACTGATGTTAGTATCGTCATTCTCGACATGATATGGACTCTACAACTCCCCTACTTCAAATATACGTCAAATGGAAGTACAATATCTTAAGATCTGCTTTGAAATTGGAGAATATTTGTAGCACCTAGGGACACCGGTATAAATCGTTAACTAGTTTTCAAACCTGTGTTATCTTGAGGGATGGATTACTGTTTTGAGATTATCTGGATAGTTATCGCTGAACTGATATCTGGCAGTTTTTTTAGTTGGAGGACATAAATGCGAGCTTGTACCTTGTCAAATGCGATGTCGTTCTGAATAGAGCCTCACACAAACAAGGACAGAAGCAGACAAAAATGACTAAATTTTGCAGTGGGATATGTTTGTTCTTCGTATTAATCTGTGTCATCTGGGCTCCCATGCTGGTAAGAAACAAGAGAAGCAATATATAATTTCTATGTTGCAGTACTATTAGCTATTATGAGGTCATGGTTGGATTTCTTTTGTTTTTGGTTCAAATTCTTGTAAAGGAAATAAATTAAACACGTAAAAAGCATTAACTGATGTTTATAAAAGACTTGTACTATGGTGTCACTGATTATAAAGTTTTATTGAGAAAATACTAATACCCTTAAGCCCATCAGTGTAAACACAGACAAATACATGCACCAAAAGAAAAAAAAAACGCACTGAAATAGTCCCCATCCAGATATTTCCTGCAGTAATTAATTAAATTTTCTGCCCGAACATCTCCCAAAGCTGATCCTNACCCTTAAGCCCATCAGTGTAAACACAGACAAATACATGCACCAAAAGAAAAAAAAACGCACTGAGATAGTCCCCATCCAGATATTTCCTGCAGTAATTAATTAAATTTTCTGCCCGAACATCTCCCAAAGCTGATCCTTTTCTTCCGTGATTTCTGCAACCTTTCCTCCATATTTTTACCCATATGTTCTTGAAATTTTCCAAAGCCAAAACTTGCCATGAAACCAAATGTGGCTGTCCAACATCTTGGTTTGAGTGTGTGCATCTCCCATGTTGAGGGCCTAATCTTTAGAAGGAACAGAATTTGAGATACGTATTTTGATCTGCTCTAGGGATTTTGTACTACAAACTTTGCAAGTAATAGCCCTCTGATAGAGATATTAGAGCTCGGCTGTAAGGGAAAATATTCACCTTAATAGCTAGAAAGAAAAGGCCTGATTAATTTCATGGCAAGCATGTGTAAATTCATAGCAAGTGTAGTGGCTCAAATGTTGAGATGGTTATTAAAGATAGCTCATAGAGCTAATATGGTTTTTTGGGGGGGCATTATTAGTATAGAATCTCTTAAAAATATCACAATATGGCCTTGGATAGCAAAGTTAATGTGGAAAGTTTAGAATTGGTTAGGGAGTAGTTTGGTGGAGTTTGCGGCCAACTAATTCTTAGAAGCCCGGTAAGATTGAGTACTTTGACCTTTGTTTAGATATACTGAACCCTCCAGACCTGATCCAGATTTTTAAGTAGGCCCTCCAACAAAGGATCCACATGGCAGCCTACTCTATAGCCATAGAACAAAGTTAGAGAAAACCCTTGACACATAAATTATGAACTGCAAGTTACCCATAGAAGCAGATTACTTACCTAAATTAACCTAAACAAAGACTCAATTTGACACTGAACATGATTAAGTGAAATCTCAATCTTGCTCTATCTGATTTCCCATTTTTCTGTTGTTCTTGTTTTCATGCTTCGTATCAATTAAGCTGGATCTCAGACCTATAGTGTCATGTTGGCGCTTGTCAATAGAAGCACATTAATATAGATGAAAGGTATTTGTGATTTGGAAAAATCGCGTTATTAGCAGTGGTTAACAAAAGGTTTTAGAAGAGTAGTTGGATATTATCTTGCATCACTCTGTCCTTGGTGCAAGTAATTTCTAGTCCATCGGGTTTCTCTGGTAGCTCTATGAGTCTTAATCCAAGGGTCTGGTCACTCGGCTGGACCGGACCTATTTATTGTTATAGTGGCATTGAGTAAGATGATAACTAAAGCAGTTAAAAGTGTTATTTTCTCACAAGGTGCCACTGTTATGGTCCATGGAGGGCTTTGACTAGGTGATTACTAGGTCACATGCATTGTGTTTTGGAAAGTGTGACCACAAGGGATGTGAAAGTTTTGAACAAATCATTGCTTAGCATGGCATGCAAATGACATTTATCTTTTGGTGAGCCCAAATTTGTCTTTTAGTTGTTTTCCTTGTAATTCTTTGAGGTTGTCTCTATTAAGAGAGCTTGTATCCCACATCGAATAATTAGGACCACCAAGGTTAGTTTGTATCCTTGAGGGGCCACTCCACCCATTGCCAATTGGTTTTGGGTTGGATACTCTAACAGNCACCAAGGTTAGTTTGTATCCTTGAGGGGCCACTCCACCCATTGCCAATTGGTTTTGGGTTGGATACTAACAATCTTAACACTAACTTAGCAACAAAAATGCTGATGTGCAAGGTTACAGTATTGGGTCATAGGTGGATAACAGTTCGTACAGTTTGGCATTTTTTGTTAACTTGGACATTTGCCGGGAACACCTTTCAAGAACGTGGTGGTGGCTTTTCAGTGGTGAATGATGAGGACAAATCGATTTTGAGTCATGATCAGGGTAGTAATTTACCAGTCAGTAAGGGATAGGTGGTTGCAATGGTTTACTATCGAAAGGGATGGAGTTTCAGGAGGATGCTAGCAGTCCTTGTTCGGGATGTGGAAAGCACGAGTCTAACTGTCTGAGCTGCAGCCCCCTGGATAATTTGCTAATAGGATGAGAACAGTGTTAAATTGAGGTATACATTTACTTGTCTCTGGAGGATATTCTTTGGGCACTCGAATATTTGCAATTTCAACGATCTGAAGTTGGAACTGGTGGATGTTTAAGGATTAGATTGTATTTGAATGAGCAGCATTGATGGAGAAAGGTGCGTGAAAAATTTGATACAGTTTCAGTTAGATACCACAACTACAGCCAACGTTGTTTAGGGGTTACATGTGCAATTGCTCCCCTTTAGATGGTTTCTCTTGTGGTCAGAGTTATCTCCGAATCTCAACTTGTAATTACTGGAGTAGCTAATTTTGGTTTTCCTCGATGGATTCTAGTTGGCTAAAAACAGAGAAATGATGAACCATTTCATTTTCAGAGCTGGGTTTTTTATACTATTTTGCTGTCTAGTTCTGCGTTTTTGTGGATTACATTTGATTCTTCAAAGATCAGGCATTGATTTTTGTCTAGTTGCATAATTTGGAGAGGGGCTTTTGTGCGAGAAACGTGCAATTCAAAACAAGCAGAATCGCAGGGTTTTTGAAGAATGCAAGCATCTTCTGTTTTTATATGACTTTTATATGGTCCTTGTATTCCTAACTTCTGGTTGAGGGGGTAAAAAGGAAATTGATTTTTTATTTCTTCGATTATGTGTACCAAGGAAGTGCACAGGTATCCCTGCAGTGTCTCAGGTTCTATTCATGTGCGCTTGGAGTACACAATAGATAGATCTTGTTTTATGGAGAGTATATTTCGTATGGACTGATACAACATTGAGATGCTTGGCTCTGGCGACTATGCAATTTTTATGTCCAAGTTGCTTAATATGGCCAATCACCAAAATTTGAATGAAGATGTGTGTGTGTGTGTGTTATGTGTAAGATTGTAGGCCTGAGCCTGACAAGGCTCAAAATGGATGAATTTGGGCCTGTGTGTTTTATGCCAGCGAAGTATAAGTTCAAGATGATGTCTTTGTTCAGAAGAATGTTCTGCTTTAAGAAATCATATTAAATTGATTTGGAAAACAAATTTCAAGTGGTGTTCAAATATATCTAGCAGTAATTTTGCAATTTTAAGTGCTTATTATTTTTTATGAGCATTTTATTAGTGGGTATTAAGGCAGACTTTTGTTTTACAGATGTACAGCAGTGGCAACCCAACAAACATTGCAAATCCCATCAATGATGCTAGTGTTCAGTTTGATATCAAGACAGAGGGCGGAAGGTTGACCTTGTACCAGACAACTCTGTGTGAAAGACTTTCATGGGATCAGCTCAATACTGTTGTTGATCTTGATCCCTACGGTTACCTGGATGCATATAACGAAAAGGATATCCAATTGATATGCTGCCAGGCTGATGCAAGTACTTTGTGGCTTGTCCCTGAAGTTGTCCAGAGAAAGTTTGTTCAGTCCCTTAACAAAAGCATGGATATTAAATTTTCTTGGGTTCTCACCAGGGACAGACCAAAAGGCAAGGAAGCTGTGAAATATGAAAGAAGTGTGGATCCTTCGGATCTTCCTGATGCATCAGAGGTTGAGGAAGTTCTCAATGGTAGCACCAACAGGTTTATAGTAAAAAATGTTTATCCCAGATATTTTCGGGTTACTGGTTCTGGCGATGTCAGACCTTTCGAACAGGAGGTATGCTTTCTCATTGTCTACCTCACTGGAGATATATCTGCAATCCTTTGAACTCCATCCCCCACCCCTTTTTGACAGAGGAGTGAGACTCTCTTGACTTATTCTCTACACTGCAGCCTATTTAGTGCTATGGTATATGTCTTATGGGAATATCTCAAATCTTTAAAATCAGCTCTTGTTAAGGGTGCTTTCCATTGGAACAACCCATTGTAATTCTATTATTTACAATTAATACGATAAAGAGGTTTTATTTAGTGCTAAAATTATAAAGGTGTCAAGAACAAAAGGTGTTGGCAGTCAAAGTTACTGTCTCAGATCAATGACCAGTGTTTCCACTTGTTTGAAAGTAGCTAATGTTTAGACTAATATGAAAGTTACCAAATACTTTACAGGCCAATGATGTCAGTGCGGATCTTGTTCTAAATCGTGGGAATTCCGAGTGGTGGTCCTTGTACGATAACAATAGGTTCAATGTCAGTGGATGTGGAGGATTGATAGGGCCTATGGCCATTGTTGTATCAGAGGAAACACCACGTAAGTCTGGTGGATATTTTCATTACTGATAAAATGATAATTTAATCAAGCAATTAGGATATTAATAATCTACCAAATCCTTGTCAGAGGGTTTTCTTGGCGAAACTCTCAGCAAATCCAGTATCTGGGGTCTCTACATCACATTTGTGCTAGCAGTTGGTCGGTTTATCAGACTTCAGTGCTCGGATTTAAGAATGAGAATCCCATACGAGAATCTCCCTTCTTGTGACAGGTAGCCCACTTATTTTTCTCTATCATTGATTTGGGATGCAGTACTGTTTTTATCTATCAAAAAACAATGAACAAAATGAGAAGTTGTTTCATGAACAACAACAATAGGAAAACAAAAAAANATCAAAAAACAATGAACAAAATGAGAAGTTGTTTCATGAACAACAACAATAGGAAAAGAAAAAGAATTATGTGCCATTAGTTGGTAAGCAAAGCTAGTGTGATTTGCGGATTGATAAGGTATAATGTTGGAGAATTGTGCATGATCAAAATGAAATTCAGTTCTGTTTTCAGGAAAGTCTTAGGACTATTTAATGCCCAATAACAGTCTTGTTATGCTGTATGTATTAATGATTGATAAGTTTTACCAAGATCTTTCCAAAGATACAGTTTCCCAAACCTCAGTTAGAGTCTTGATTTATAAAAAGATATTGTAACTTTTGAATTTGTGCAGGCTGATTGCCATCTGCGAGGACATATATGCTGCAAGAGCAGAGGGTGAGCTTGGAGTCGAGGAGGTCCTATACTGGACGCTGGTTAAGATTTACAGGTCGCCGCATATGTTGCTCGAGTACACGAAGCTTGACTAGACTCAAAAAGCTGACTTTAGGTTCGACTAACATACAGTTTGAGGAATTAACTAACAAATACTGATTTCTTTTTGGTTCGAAGAAGCTCTCGTGCAGAGTACCATACCAGACATTCCCCAAGATTTCTTTATTTTGCAGTTGAGTTTGTAGAAGTGTTTTGCTTGTATTCAACAGCATTCGATTTGAGATACTCACAATTTATATGTACATAACTTGGAGAGTCATAATGTATATGCAAATATCAGATCACATGGAGAGCCAATTAGTGCCTCCTAGCTGCATGTAAAAGATATTGATAGCTCTGTATATGATTCTATGATTTTCCAGTGTTTCCACAACAAACTCCTTTGGCAGCAAGTACTTTCCTTTTTATTTCTGGTTTTTTAGGTGATGAAATGGGGGTTGGGGCGTCTTACCAAAAAAAAAAAAAAAACCTGCAAAATGCCAACATAACATTAGGGAAAAAAAATGCTGTAACAGCGTAATAGGTAACAGATTAATCTGCAGGCACCAACATTTCATTGACAAGTAATCAACATGAACACCGCCTTAAGAACTGCATTTGTAAGATAGTTTTCACCTATGTAACAATATTGACACTGAGCCAAATAGAAAAGCAGGCCAAGAAACAAAATTACACCATTATACATTGAAATAATTGGGAAACTTCTGGTGCAAAGAAAGATAGTTACCCCAATACTTCACCAAAACTTACACTTCAATAGTGCTCAAACATCATCTTCCTTAGACAATTTAATTCTTTTTCCACCACTAGCTGAGCCCTTCATCTTAAGATCATCAGGAATGGTATCCTGCATTACTTTTGGAGAAGTAAAACTGAAGTCTGAAACAGACAAATCTTTGTACTCCGGGTTTTCCTTCAGGAATTGTGATATTTCTGTAGATGATCTCACTTTCTTCCCAGTTGGAGTGATATAGGTAGCATCCAACTTAGAGAAATCTTTTCTGAGATTTAATTTTCTTTGAAACCCCTCTGGGGTTTTTGGTAAGTTTGGCTTGTCCATGACCCAAGTTCTTGTGGAGTCATATTCTATATCAGTAGGATCATCACAAGAAACACCAGGTTTCTTGTTGCAGAAAAATGGGTTCTCTATGAATGTGCTTCTGATGTCCTCAAACTCTTCTTGTGTAGGTATCACCCTCCACTTTTTGCAGCTTCCACACTGTAGTGCAAATATATCAATGGTGCGCGGCTGTGGTTTCTGTCATGAAAAACAACAAATCAATTCAGCACAATCGTATCACCACCAAATTCCATAATGCAAAGGAATATGAAACTCCAAGATTAAAGATACATCCAAATCGACAAATCATAAACCCAAAAAATAAAGAAAAATGGCAACAGTCAACTATTATTTGCTTTCTGATGGACATTCGGAATCTTAATTTGGGCAATATGAGATCAAACAGTTCTTTGACATGCAATCAATCAACAAATTCCACAGTAAACGCCACACCCTCATCAGACCAATGTCTTGGTCACATTATGAGATCTTTCTCCCCCATAATTTCTCGGCAACCCAAGTGTTTATATTTAAACAAATGGAATATCATGTAAAGAAAATATGATAAAAAAGAAGAAAAAAATCAAGACAATAAACGTTGTGATCAATATGATATCCTCGAATC